ATGCCCATCCGACCTATGAAAAAGGCCCATCAGACCTACTAACGTGTCCAAGCGACAGCTTAAAGTAGGTCGGATGCACCAATATGCTGTTTTTAACGTGCCCATCCGACCTACAGTGCATCGGACCTACCACAGCTGTTAAAACCACGTGCTCGTAGGTCGGATGGGCAGTAGAGGGGATGGGCGTAGGTCCAAAAATACACCATCCTCTAATTGTTTACAGGAAGTAAGTCCACTTAAAATAAGAATAAAAATTGTTTGACAAAACATAAAATTTTGTCGGAGTTCCAATTTATCCAACATACCTCAGGTGTACTTTATTTTAACATTTAAATAAAATAAAATAAAATTAAGAAATTAAAAGATAAACAAAAAGAGATCTACGAGCCAGTAATGGTATGGATTCTAGCATTCATCCGGAATATAATCATGACAAGGAAGGGAGTGCTGCAAGAGGGGGGGAGTCCAGAGTTTCTCAAATAGTAATCACCGCCACCCAAATCTGTTTCGCGGCAAGCGCGCTCCTCAATTGGTAATCTCCACCACCATGATTACTATTTGAGGTGGTGGAGATTACCAATTGAGGAGCGCGCTTGCCGCAAAACAGATTTGGGTGGCGGTGATTACTATTTGAAAAACTCTGGACTCCCCCCCTCGCTGCAAAAGTGGAAGAAAAAAATCTATAGATTTCAACAAGAACATATAATTTTAGTTTTTATAAACCACATCTCTACTCTGGCAATCATGTTTCTGCAGCAGTAAAATTGAGCTTAGAATTGCAAGAGTAACTTTGTTCACCGTCCTTACATCATGAATTGATAAGATGCAAATAGTATCTTCTCTTTGAACGTTTGGAGGAATGATTTAAATCATGGAGAGAAAGATTTTAACTTTGGGAGGAAGGATTCAATTGGTGGGATGAAGAGTTTTTATGTTGGGAGGAATGATTTAAATCTTGGAAGTAAGGATCTAAACGTTAGGAGCAAAGATTCAAACAGTGGGAGGAAAGGTTTAAATATTGGGAGGAAGGATACAAACATTTGGAGGCGGATTAAAATGTTGGGAGAAAGAATTACAATACTGAAATGAAGGGTTCAAACGTTGGGAGGAAGGATTTAAATCTTTTTACCTTGCTTCTCCTTTATGCTTAAGCCCAACGGCGCACATATCTCATTGGCATAACTAAATTTTCCATATTGACATGAAAGCCAAAAATCATATATAAATGATCAATTTGTATTCGCAATAACTTGATATATTAAATAGTGTTTTGATTGTCAGAGCTTTGGTCCTTTCCTCTCAACTGTTGTGGGGGCACTGGGTTTGTTTACACTCCTCATTACATTATTGAAGTGATTGTAGATCGTGTTAGTGAAGGGGTTGGTAATGAGGTGCAAGGGGGGGGGATGGAGAAGATATTGAAGAAAAAAGCTAAAAAAAATGAGAGAAAACGTAAAGGAAGATTCATTGTCGGATGGATTAGAAAGAAAAGAGTCATGCCATACTCTACGCAGGACTCTCCAATGATCAGAGAGGAGACCTTAACCATCCTTTGACTCTGCTGCGACTAACTTTTAACATGTTTAAATTGCCTGGTGGAGGAGGTGGAGTTTGAAATATGTGTTACTAGTTAAGGACAGAAAATGAAAGATTGGGCAGAAAACCAGAATTTAGGATGAAAAATGATTTTTGGAACATTAAGTAACATATAGTAATCTACGTAGCATACAAAAACTTACTAGTGGAATTCGAAATATGTCCCATAACTCAGTTAACTGAAAATGGAAGTTGTGGGACGGAAAATTAAAATGTTGGGACAGAAAATGAGTTTCAGAACTAAAAATTGGAATTTGGGACAAAATTTAAATAAACAAATGGGACAGAAAATAAATTTTTTGGCTGAAAAATGAAATATTTGGGATGGAAAATGAAGTTAACAATCAGCATGTGAAGAAAGGACTAGTAGAATTTAAAATATTTTTAAAGGTTATGGGACAGAAAATTAACATTTAGGGACAAAAAATGTAAGTCCTATGGATAAAAAATGAATTTTTTAAACAAATAATTAAATAATTGGCATAGAAAATGAAATTAATAACCAGCATGTGTATTAAGGACAAGTGGAATTTAAAAAAATTTTCTGGGGTTTGGGATGGAAAATAAAATTTTGCGACGAAAAATGAAATCAAATGAGACTTAACTTAAATCTAGGTCATAAAAGGAATGACAATTGGAATTAAAAATTGTTTCCTTGGCAGCACTGTCAACTACATACTGACAGACGGAAATACCGTAGAAAAGAAGTACAATTACCCTCGAGATCTTCAATCTTAGTAAACGTGTACAACATGAGTAATATGCTAATTTCCTAATTTTCTTCATTCTTAGTCTACTTGTATTATCATTCTTTTCTCATCAATCGTAGTATACTGTAAACTCTCCTCACTAAACGTTAAAGGAATTTAAGCTCTAATATTTTGGTTTGCAGTACGTGCCATCAAGTTTGGTTAAATTCTAATAGAGAAAAGCCAAAGATAATATATATATAGATATGCAGGCAGGTATAAATTTAGAGGTCTTGAGAAAAGGTGCAAACAGCACCATCTCTGTCGTACGCATGGCATTTTATCCTCTGGATTGTTGCTAATTTATCACTTTGTATATGCGTGATAACACTAAATGCGTACTATATCAACAATGTATACTGCATATTGTACTTAATGAAAAAAATTAATCAATGCAAATAAAACTGAGGTAGGAATTTGACTAGACAAAGTTTAAATGTGCAAGTTGTACTGAATGGCATACGTAAATTAACGCAATTTAAATAAAAATTATTACTATATAAGTACATCGAATCTAGGACAAAGTACAACTGATCTGATCAGAACATAAACAAAACGCGTACTGTATGTTTGTGTTACCTTGAAATTAATTTTATTGGTCAAACAGGTCCAGATAGCAACACTTGAACTATACAGGATGCAATACGCGTACTGTATGTTTTTATAACACAAATGCGTATTTCCTACAAAAGGCAGCAAGGAGAGAAAGGAATATAGAAAGTAATCAATTTGCTATAAATGTCTCTCCTTGCACCTTTTCTCAGAGGTTCAAAAATTATTTGTCTGCTACAAGCAATTTAGGAAGGAGGTTTCTACCTGCCTGCATATCTATATATATATTATCTTTGAGAAAAGCAGAAAAAGGTATTCCACTATCGGAAAATTTATCAAAAGATCAAAGTAAACAAAATTCAGATATTCACAAGATTGTTATCACACAGGAAAACTGTAAACGAGTTGACAGATATTCATAATCACAAGCAATACATTTGTTACTATGGTTTCAATCTGGGTAAAAATATATTTCCGCCATATTAAAAATACGTAACGGCTGAAACAAATAATTGTATGGGAGGATTATATCACAGGAAAGAAGAAACGTTCTTCAGGATTGATTTGAAGATATAAGAACCCCGGAAATTGATAATACTTGTCACACTGCACCCCAGAGAGAAGTTTCAGTTTTATATTTGTGAACAACACCAAAATAAATCTTTAGCCTATTATTGATAGTAATAGTTGCTTTAAGGTCGAACTAGCATTAGGGTAAAAGGTGACCAAAAGGAAAACATGAAAAAATAAATGCTGAAATTCTGAAATAGTCTTTCAAATGTACATAAATAATACCCCAGACATCTCACTGTGTAACCCGATAACCCATAGCTTATAGTCTGTAGAACTGAAAAAGATTAAATAACGCAGTAATATGCTTTCCATAAATTTTTGATTAGCAGAACCATAACCCGTCATAATCGTAAATATGCCGGTGACTCACCAAAAATCCTTTTATACCCTAAATCTTTAGATTACAAAAAGTTAATTTATCATCAAGAGTGTGCGTCGAAATATTTTCCAAGTTATTTTCTCAGTAAAGTAAAAAGTTTCGACTTGCAAAATAATCTAGAGATTCAGAAACAATTAAAGTGAGTTTGGGGAAGGTTTATGTACGCTATTAAGACATCCCGAATTTTTAAACCTAACCAAGCCAGATGTAACAGATTAATCATTTTTGTCCGTGTCTTGTTTGTGGTTCTAGTCTTAGGCATTGATTATTTTTTTCACACTTTATAACTCGGACTTCTTTGCTTTTCCCTTTCGATCAAAGCTTTTAAGCTCATCTGATGCGTTCTCTGCAATGTATTTAACAAAATCGTCAAGTTCCCGTCCTCCCTCATAGGATTTAGGTTGCTTGCTTCCCTTGGGCAACCAGTACAGGGTAGGGAACCCACGGACATTAAACTGTGGAGGAACATCATTAGCTGTAGCATCCATCTTAACAATCTCAACATCTTCATCCATCATTTTCTCTCCTAGCTCATCATAGATAGGAGTAAGCTTCTTGCAATGTCCGCACCAGGGGGCATAGAATTCAACTAAAACGTCTTTAGTGCTCTTTGTCACCAGTTCGTCAAAGTTCTTGGCAACAGCAACCTTTACTCCTTTACCCTCGTTGTCGGGCAGAGGTTCTAATAAAAATAAGAAAACTATTAAACCCATTATTACTCTTAGCTCTTATTGAACAAAGTTTGTTAAGTGTTTAATAATCAATACTTGCAGATTTCTTAGGCAGTTGTTACAGAATAATAATTACCAGATTTGAGGTATGGCTCTAATTCTCCAGCTTCTAGATCAGTAAGAAAAGAAGAGAAAGAGTCAATGGTAAATTCTTCATTCATCTTGAATTTTAAACCAGCGGCGTTTCTAGCAGCAATTACAGGAGTAGCTCCACTGAAGAAGAAATGAAATAAAGCATTTTTTTCAGAAATTTTACAATTTATGATATTTAGCATTTAGTTTTACCTGACATAATCGTATCCGAATTCTGAGAGTTCTTGCTGGAAGTCGTCCTTATTCGACACAGCGCAACTAAACTCAGGGAACTCCTTGCAAACCTTGGCAATCCTGTTTCTCCAGTAGTTTGTTCCCTGTTAATAAAAACAATTATTAATATCAATCAATCATACTTTCTTAATTCAAAGGATTACCTTAACGTTCTTAACGTAATCGACCCCGTAGTAGGCAATAATGGTAGCACCAGTAAAATCCTTGGCATTATCAGCAGTTCTGTGCCCAACCAATCCATGGTAGTTCTAAAATAATTTCAAGTTTGTTTTTATTCTTCCTTCAGAATAATTTAAGAGACAGACGAAAAGTGACTTGCAGATTTAAGCAAAAGAGACAAATAACGTATATTCAACACATTAAATGATGGCCATTGTGACTTGTAGCGATTAAGGATACTCTTACATTATATAGTCGCTGTTGTCCGCCTATTTTCCACATATTTAGGTTTGTTGAACGCAACTTTTAGATTTTTATAAATATTATTTCAAATTAAATCAAAATGACTAAACTATCAGGGCGATTTTCTATTTCGATTTTATTGCCGACTCTTCAGTATTTTCTCTTTGATGAAAAAAATAGTAAAATTTGTTGCGCAGTTATAATTTTTTTCTTGGATTTTCTAAAGGGGATGGTGGAGATGTCATGTTTGATTAAGGGGGAGGGGTGTCCCTGCCTTCATTTTTGGTTCAAATCATCCAATTTTTTGGCTGCACGTCTAATAAGTGATCGAAATTCCTTCAGTAAAATAAAATTCAATTTTAATGACCTCTAATGACCTAAATGACCTCCACAAATAGAAAATATTTCAGCTATGGCTTTATACATATTAAACGAAAGCTAGGAACCCAGGAAATATAGTAGCAGCAACAAATCCAGTGTTTGACCATCTAATGACCTCTAATGTCATAAAATGACCTCCTAAATGAAAATGTTTGTACTAAGGCTTTATGCAAATAAATTAAAAGCTAGGAACCCAGGGAATACAATAGCTTCACAGAAAGAAGAAGCTGGGTGTTGTTAACTTTAGGGTCAAAAATAATATGCATAAATCCACAGTTAAAACACTTACATTTTTGAAGGTCATTTAGGTCATTAGAGGTCATTAGAAAGTTAAACACGGGATTCGTTGATGCTACTGTATTCCTGGGGTTCCTAGCTTTTAATTAATATGCATAAAGCCATAGTTGATATATTTTCTATTTGTGGAGGTCATTAGAGGTTATTAAAATTCAATTTGATTTTAGGAATTTCGATCACTAATTAGGCGTGCAGCCAAAAAATTGGAAGATTTGAACCAAAAATGAAGGCAGCCCCCCCCCTCCTCTATATCAAACATGACATCTCCACCATCCCCTTTTACAAAAAAATTTAAACATTTTTGAGGACAATTTTTTGTAATTCTGAGCATCCATAAACCTTTCCTGGGATCATGTGAGATCCCACAAAAAAATTGGGCCCGATTGTTTTTGCTGTTTTCGACGTTTTTCAGTTAAAAACAAACAAGCAAAGTATAGTTTTTACAATTTTGTTTTCGCAGATTTACAAAATTATACGAAAAACAAAGTCTTTGAAACTCTTAAAAGCTAAGCTTCCATTAACCTTTCCTGGGGTCATGTGAGGTACCACACAAAATTTGGTCCCGATCTGTTCAGCCGTTTTGACCAATATTAGAGACGGACAAACAATCAAACAAAAAGACAAGCAAAGTATATTTTTAGAAGAAGAAGGGTAGAAGGCTCCGGTTCACTTTACCTTGGAGATGAAAGCCTCTAGAGCAGTTTTATCAGTCTCAGATCCAGAATAAACAACCTGACTTGGCTCAAGTTTTGACTGCAAGTGCTTAGGCCTCACTAGGAAATAAAAGTTTCATTACTTTTGACCAGGAAATGCTACTAGAGCTGATCAAAAAGGATTTAATTAGAAAGAAAATATGAAAAAGAAACTACCGACTCAGTCCAACAAAAAGATTTTGAACAGAATAAAAGAGAAATTTTCAAAAATATCTCCAGAAGAGAATTGATTCGAAGAACACAAATAAGTTGGCAAAAAAAAACTTGGAATATGCCAAACTTGCAAAATTGCATCTTCAACCCACTCTCACCCCCAATCCCGAGCATTAATCGAATTTACCTAGAACAACAGATCCAAGTGGTTGTCCAAGAGTTTCAGCAACAACGCTAGCATCAGAGTTGGCAAACGCAACGGATTCTCTCAGCTTGGCTGATACCTTAAATTAATAACTTTGCTTTACACACCAAACAGTAATAAGAATTATTAAATAACACAGGAACAACTTGCTCATTTAATTGTTTAAACAAATTTTCGTTTGGTACATGGATCAAACTCGATACCATTCTAGGATATTCCATATGTTAAAATATTTTACGAGAATTATGAGAAAAAAACAAATAATCAAAAATATTCTTAATTAATCTTTTATCAAAATGTGATCTATGAACATTGAACAATGTATGTTACTGGAATATAACAAAAAATCCTACCTTGCCAAAGGTTTTGCCGAGGTCTGATGAATCGTCTCCTAGGAAGAAGACGACCACTTCGTCCTTCAAAAATATATAATTTTCTTGCAAATCCAACTGGTTGACATTTTACAATCCAAATTCCATCTTTTCATATCAGTTAAAAGCAATAAAAATTTCTTATCCTTTTAAGGAAAAAGCAAATTAACAAAGCAAGCATCCCCGCCCCCCTTAAGTGTAAAGAGGGGGGGGGGGGGGCTGTATTCAAGACTCATTCTAAAAATATATTTTCCTTGTTCAATATTTTGTTTGCATCCTCGGCATCCTTGAGCACTTTGGAGGCAGGTCCAACCTAAATAATACATTTATCTGAATATACACAAATGCAAGGTTAACTTACTGAGAGATCAATTTAACATTATTTAATTTTAGATTTGAGTGTAAATACATACAAGTTTGCGAAAGTAAAAAATTTATATTTTCGATTTTGAAGTGTTCATTGGATAAAACAAGTATTTTATATTAGTCTTTTACAATTAGAGTTTTAGGTAGTTTCTCTCATGTAACGACTGGTGAATAATACCTGCGCTTTCATAAACTTGGTAATTCCGGCGGCTTCACGCGGACCATTGTAGTCGCTACTCAGTTCTCCATTTCTAAATATACATTTTTAATATTGCAATATAAAATTAGGCAGTAAAAGTATAGACATTTAACGGAGGGAAAAAATATTTACAAAGCCACATGATTACAAAAAAAATACTTTGCCAAAGTTCAACTATATAGGCAATTAGTAATAAAAAATAATTCGGAAAGAGAATAATTTCAAAAAAGAACAAAATTAGGAATAGTTACCTGAAAATCTTGAGGGTGGGATAACCTCTAACCTCAAACCTATTACAGACTTCCTTACCAGCCTCTGTACAATCCACCTGTAAACACACATTAAACAATTAGCAAGCAAACATGACATCTACCTGATTCATCTTTAAATTTAATTCATCAAGACAGCTCTCATTAAAATCAATCAGTGTATTATTAATATTTTATTATTGTTAAAATTTCATGAAATATAAGAATTGACTTATTTTACAAAAAAATCTCTCTGCATTCTATTTTTGCTTTTTTAAATATTTTCATTTAACAAAATAATATTTCCTTACTTTAGCCAATGTGACTGGAGGATCATTTTTAATCAGATCCCCAGCAGATTTCTCAAACTCCGGCTTTAACCTCTTACAGTGTCCACACCTTAAGAAATACTCAGGATATCATAAAATGTATTATACAGTGTCTAGAATCCGGATCCATTGAATCCGCAACATTTTAGCTTCCTGGATCCAGATCCGCAAAAATACGCGCAACCATGAACAAAAACTGCAAACAAACATCTTTAGCTTTTAAAGCCTAAATCTGATCTGTTAACAAACAGACTAAAAAATTCCTTCTCTATGAATGTTTCTCTAGTTTCAGCATAGCAATAACGAAAAAAAAGATATAATTTGAAAATTCTTCTGTTAAAGAATCAGTAAATCTTACAAGAAATGTTGACGGCCTGGATCCGGATCAAAATAAATGGATCCTGCGCTAGTATTATGATATGGGGTTTAATGGGACACAAGAGAAAATCAAAACGATTAAATAATTATTAAAAAAATGTAAGGATTGATTTAAAAATTCCTTACAATACGAGGTATTCTGTACGTGAAGAAAGAAGACAAATCCAATATGGTATGGGACTCACTGTAGTAGGTGTTAATTAAATAAGATTGCGAAATTCATTTCGGTATTTTGTATTTCTGTAAAACATGAAAATAAAATAATTTGGAAGATTTACCAGGGTGCATAAAACATGACAAGTGCTGTCTCTACCTTCTCTAATTCTCCATCAAAGGATGCATCCTGAAAAATATATAATACTTAAATATCTTTAATAAATATTATCGAAATTAAAATTTCTTTCTTTTAAGTCGGCTGTTCTGTTTAACTCTTTAAACGATCAATAAAGATATATTTATTAAAACGAACTAAAAATAAAACTGCAAGTTTGTATGTCAAACGATGAAAAAAAATTATTTATTAAGAGTTTAACAAATATTTAGCAGAAGAAAAACGTTCCTTAAATAAATAGAAATTTAACATATAATTGAAATTGAGGAGTTGGGGAAGGGGGTCAGACTTTGATCGTTTACATAAAATAATTTTATATATCTCGATGTTACACTTACTGTGAGATCTAAACTGCTATCTGAGAAGACACCAGCCACCAATAGAAAGAGGAGTGGGATAACCAACATTTTCACTGAAATATAAAAATATGATAAATTTATCCAGATCACAATTGTCAGACAAAAAAAACACGATTCTAATTTGCCTTTACTACATTCTTGAGGTTTGCACTCAAAATAATACGAATTATGTTACCAAAAGATACGATTTTTAGACCCCCCTCCCCCATCCTATCAATTTTGTACATGACCATTTGTTTATCAACAAAATTATTACTTATTTTTTATAGTTTTAGGTTTAAGTTAGGTTAAGACAATTTCTGGAGCGAGCGCTGCGGCTAAAAGAGGCTCGGGGCCGAGCACTGTGGCTAGGACAGGCTTGGGGGCCGAGCGCAGGGGCTAAAATAGGCTCGGGGACTGAGCGCTGGCGGCTACATGACCAATGTTCTCCATGTGATTCACATGATAACCAAGTACAAAATTGATAGGTTGGGGTCCAAAAATCGTTCTCTAGGAAATTACCAATGATACTCCCCCACGAATACATATACATGTGAGAGAGAAAGGATATAACATATTAAATCAAATTTAAATTTCATGCATCTCATTAAGCATATCTTTTGTTTAACACCGTTAAGAAATTAAGTAATGATTCATAAGAAATATCTAACTTCTGTTATATACTAAAAAAATTGTCTCAATCGAAGGTTTCACATTTCTAGCTGGCACTACTTGAGTTTACTGTTGGGACTGTTGGTGTTCGTGTTACCGGCCTAGAATTGAGGAGATTGAGTGATATTAAGTTTGATTTCTTGATCGGTGATTGGCCGTATGGATCTGCCATGGCGAACTCTCATTGGTCCAGATGTCAGAGGAAGGGACAGCAATAACACGTCAACCGCACGGTAAACCGCACATAATAATGGTTCGGACAGAGGCCATTCCTTTCAATATTAGGCAAAGTGGGATTCATGTTGTGTTCAATGCCCCTGGAAAATTCCAAAATAGCAAAAAGGGGATTGAATTTTGTAGATCTAGAAAAATAATATCTGTGGGATGCCTGCTTATAGACACTGGCATCTGGTGGGGTCTTAAATGTAAGACATGTGCCCACAGCGCTCGGCCTAGAAAGTGTTATACTTAACCTAACCCGTGGCCGCAGTGCTCAGCCCCCTGGCCTATCCTAGCCGCAGCGCTCAGCCCAGTAAGTGTCTTAACCTAACCTAGCCCTAAATAACTACTAATTTAATTAGTTTTCTGGGTCTACAAAATTCAATCCCCCTCTCTCTGTTTTGGAATTTTCCAGGGCATTGAACACAACATGAATCCCACTCTCCCTCAATATTACAGTCACAAGAGGGGAGGAAGGCCAACCACAACAATTTCTCGTCCGAGCCACATTCTCCTAAATTTCTCATCCGAGCTACCTCAAAATCCTTGTCCTTCTAATATTGAACTGTCTACCTCTGTGATTAAAATATTTTTTAGGAATCGGGCCACATGAGGGAGGGAAGGCAACCTCCCCGTGCAGCTTCCAAACCTCATTTTACCTTTTTGTGGCAGTGCATATCCCCAGAGGGCTTCTGAACCTCCCCCTTGCAGGAATGATTTTCCATATATAATTGTCCATTTCTTCTAAAAATAGGTCTAATTCGATAATTTAATTTTTAATTTGGCAACCTTCACGTCCCCCCCTACACAATCCTTATTTACGCCCCTGATGAACTAATGATTGAAATGGTTGGTTTAAACAATTCTTTAATTTATTGTGGATTCTACTATGAAGAGATATATTTTGAATTTTGGCAGATTAAGCCATAACAGGTAAATAACAAATAAATACGGCAAGCAGAGATCAAAACGTGGGGCATGGAGTTTGAGGGCTGAGGCTTGGAGATAAAATGAGAGGCACAGAGATGGTTTTGCAGGGGCTTGGAGGTCATTCCGCATATCAGGAGGCTCTGAAGGTCATTTGGTGGGGCTCATGGCAGCTCAAAACCCCTCCATCATGAGACCTAAACTATAAAATGCTGTACTTATAGTATATGCACACTTTTTAAAGGTCAGATGCACACATTTTTTTAATTGGATGATGCACACTATTTGTAGGTCAGGTGCACACAGTTTGTAGGTCAGAAACAAAATTTTTATAAATTAAATTCAGACTTTTTGTATTTCGGATGCACACTTTTCTAGGTTGAGTCTTGGGGCTATGAGATCAATAGACAGACTCAGGGGACTCAGCTGGGGCCAGCCCAAGGGCCACATTTAGTAAACACATTTTCAAGGCCAAGTGCTGCTTCTAGGACAGGCTAGGGGGCCAAGCCCTTTGGCCATATTCATTTAATGAATACATTGATACCTGATAAGTAGGGTTTGAATGAGGGAGGAAAAACAACCTCCCCCACAGAGCATCCGCACCTCATTTTATCTATTAGCGGCAGTGTGCATCCCTATAGCGCTTCTGAACCACCCCCTTGCAGGAATGATATTCATTAATAATCTTCCATTTCTACTTAAAACGGGACTAATTTGATAATTTCAGCAAGCTAATCCATCTATTGTATCCTTAACATTTTCAAAATATTCTTATTTCTTTTTTACAATCAAAGTTTGGACTGTAAAAACCAAAACTTTGTAGATTTTGTTTCATATCGCACCNTGTAAAAGGCAATTTTGTCAAAGCTCTACTTAAAGAAAATGTAATTATCTGTCAATCTATATGTATTTCAAATCTGTAGCGCTTGTAAAAAAGAAAAAGGTGGCAATAGTTTAAAATCATTTGGTTATAACTGAGTTTTATTTTCTTTAAATATCTCAATAACTAGGGAGAAATTTTCAAATAGGGCAATGTTTTTTAGAATCAACATTCCATGAAGAATATTTTTTATTTGTTTACTTAAGTAAAACTATTTATAAAAGGCTGCAACCGTTTAAGATTTGTTGTTTCGTTTCTCCAACTTGATCTTTGAATGTAAAAAGAAATATTAAGCAAATGTTAAGGATAATATTTGACTACCATGCTTAAATTATCAAATTAGTCCCGTTTTAAGTAAAAATTGACGAAAATAAATGTAAGATCATTCCCGGAAGACTGTTTGGTGGAGGTTAGGAAGCCCTATGGGGACGCGCACTGCCGCAAATGGGTAAAATGAGGTTCGAAAGCTGTGCGGGGGAGGTTCCCTTCCCTCCCTCTTAGGATAGGTTAAAGGTCGACTCGGTTGTGCATTAGAGGTTTCGAGAATAAATTACACGTAGAAAAATTACTTGGCTTAAAATTTACGAAAATATGCGTATTTTTAGGTTTGCATCTTCATATTCTAAGATTGCGTTTTTCTTCTATTAATTTGGGTATAATGGTCTAATTTTAAGATGCATTGGCAGGCGCTTCAGGAGGGGGGGGGGCAATGGTCCTTGACCCTCCCCCCCCCTGCGATCTTAAAGGCAAAGGTTACAATCAGGTGTGGTAGGTAAAAATGAGCTTTCCCCCATCCTCAAAAGGGTGTTTTCCCTCTTTAAAAATAGTTAAAACAAATTTTTCTGGAGACTACTCAAGACCTCAGAGATTGTTACTTCTGTTCTACTGCATTTCCGTCCTACGATACTTCGGATCTTCACAACATCGGACTTTCAAAAGAACGAACGGAACGATCAAGATCCCATCGTCCTGAAAAAAGAACGAATGCATAGAACGCGTTCTTAAAAATATTAGAATGGAAGGAACGGAATGAAAATTTTTGAAAAGAACGTTTAAAATCAGGAACGTTCATATTATCAAGATTGAATATTTCATATCTATTATTCAACACAAAACAGTTCCTTACTTGATGTCTCCGCATTAATATTAACTAACCCCATTAAGTTTCGGATCCTTGCATCAACAATTTTCATTAATTATACCTTCTGCACGTTTATAATCGACGACTTTCACAATCTAAGAGATCAAGATTTTGTTAACCATTGCGATTTTCTCGAAATTTGATTTCGAAAATCTAAAAACGATCAATTTTATCAAGGAACAAATTCTATATTAGTTTAGCCCCATGAATGATCCTATCTCTCATGCCCAGTTCGAATCACATCATCTTTATTGTTTCAAGTTCAACTTGAATTTACAAGGCAGTTCTTAAAAAAGAAGTTTGTGAACTTTCGAATTCAAAATAAAAATGAAAAAGTTAACCCACTTACTGACGTCATACATTCCCACGGCAACTCCACCAAATATACTTAACAACTTCTTCTCGAATATAATGTTCCCAAACCCATTGTTATGTTATACAGAGAAGTTGAAAATTGTGGGTGTTCCGTGGTTCTTAGACTCCGGGAAACCTCTAGAATGTTGCAATTGCCGGTCGCTGGAAATCGTCCACGACCCCATGAGTGCACTTTAGAAATATCTCTTACAAATTTCGGAAAAATATTGCAGAAAATATTCCCCTTTCTTCATTTTAAGGTCAAAATATCTTACATGTCGAAATGTTAAAACTAATTTTGTAACTGTTTGTGCACACTGCTGAAAATGAACCATCAGGATTCAAGTCAAAACACCTAATTTTTTTCGGAATATATTAATATGCATGCTTCTGAGTTATAATCGAAATTTTCAATAAATGCCACCTAGGGAATTTAAAGAATTTTAAAGAAATTGTAGAAATCAAGTGCATCTTTAAGTCTTAACTCAATCGTAGCTGTAGGTTCAAAGATTAATCAATCATATCAATTGAACTAAACATCGTTTGAGCGAATTGAGCGAACGTAAGCTTATTTTGTTTATTACGACTAACGTTTTTGATCTTTTTTAACGATTTCTGGACAAAGCTGTGGAATTTTAACCATTTGTAAATCTGTCATTCTTCATAAGCGTTGTTAAGATGAAAAATTGAATTATCTTAAATTAGAACATTAAAAAAACTTCAAAATTAATACATTGAAGTTAAAAAGTATGCAGGACAAGACTGTAGGTATATGGGTCGCATTTCATAAGAAGAACAAGAAGATTAAAAAATATATTTCAGAAAAATACATAATATATGACAAGACATTTGACAAGAGGTGCACACGCGCAAAAAAGCAAACAATTTAAATAAAATCTCAATTTTTCATTTTTTATGTTGATTCTTGTTCGGACGGCGCATGGTCCAAGCAACGAATAAAAAATATTTTTTATGACAGATTCTATGAAAGTAGAACCCCCTTAGATCGTCTGCTTTGAACAGTGGGCAGTGGCACCTCTTTATACATTATTATCACAGAAGACAGGATACATTTTGACGCAGGGGACATTGCATACAGGGTAAATAGAGCCAGGTATTCAGCTAGATTTCTGGTAATTCATTAGGAAAATATAGCTAAATAACCGGCAAACATCAGGAAATATTTAGCTAGATATCCAGTGAACATCAGCAAATATATAGCTAGATATATAGCAAAAAATAGGATTTATCTAGCCATATATCCTGTGAACAGCAGGAAATATTTCAATAAATAAAAAGGTTTAGGAGTAGGTCGTCATACAAGGACTCAGGGGATATCCCAATAAAGATAAATTCTATTCACTCCTGTACTCGTATCCAAACCTTTTAATTCATGCTAGACTTGACGGAGGATTTAAATGGTTTAGATTCACAAAAAGACTTAAGATTTAATCGACAATCGACAATTGACAATCGACGTGTCACAGATCAGATAATTAGTTAGCTGACTCCCCCCCCCCTTTTAAAATAAAACCCAAATTCAAGAACCTTAATTCAAGTAGCGTTTTGACAAAAACAAATGTCTAAGTTGATTTCGTTTATAAACTCTCATTTCAGCAAATATCCAAAACAATGCAAATAAAGACTGGTTGTAAAATGGAGGCGTATCAAATACTAAGGACATGAAGCACTACATGTTTAAGCTGCAAACTTTCTCTAAACTTGTTTTAAATACACAAAATTCTAAATTTTTCCAAAAGATATTTTTAAAGTCTACAATATTGAAAGGAAATTATTGATTCGGGAGATGAGTTTACGGAAAATATTTTTAAACTATTGAGAAATTATGAATTTTGAGTCTATTTTCCAAAGGGTGATGTAGCAGGGGCTCCGAAGTTGAATTGTCCTGGAACAACTTGTTGATTAAACTGATATCCTAAAATAAACATCAATTACAAAAATACTCTAACTTCGCAATGAGATTCATTGTTTATTAAATGGACTAAGGTCTTAATTTTAAGTCCCTCCCCATTAAAAACAGGTGACGTATCCTATTCACAAAGGTTTTGGCTTTTCCTGATAAATATGTATCAGATAAACTCATAACCTTATCTTTGAAAGTTGATTAATTTAAATTGTGGTTTCTCTGCTTGGAAATTGTCAGAATTGAACATTTATAAGTGAGAAAAATTTACACATAAAGGTTTTAAGGGCATTGTTGTGATTCAGGCATATCCCTTCTTAAATGGAAGGTTGCACTTGAAATTGAAACGACATCCTCTTTAAGAAAACGAAAAGTTTACCTCCTTGTTGTTGAATTTTTCTACTTTCCCTCTCAGCCAGCCTTTGGTTGCTCAGGGTGATCACTTCAGTCAAAGCTTTACCTGAATACGAGGATAATAACAATAAAGTCTATATAATAAAGCTCTTAACTGATAAATATAAATTCCTATTTTTATTTTTTCAAAAATCTATGTTTTCAGTTTCATTGGCAATGCCGGGCACTTCAGCTAGAAGAACAGAAGTCAACAAACGAATTATTTTTTAAATCTTGAATTATTATAGAAGATTTCCTTGACCATTAGGGTGTCCCAGATCGAATACCAAAAAAATTGGATTTTCAATATAATTGGTATTTAATCCCATTCATATAAGTCAATCCTGAGCACAAAGATACAAAAATAAAATTCTTAAAAATTTCTATCAGCTTTATGTAAAACTTGAAGAGCCACTCCCTTGAAGAACTAATAACACAAATATTTAGTATGATTAACTCACTTGAAGAACCAATAGCTCCAATTTTTGGTATAATTAACTCCCTTGAAGAACTAATAACACAAATATTTAGTATGATTAACTCACTTGAAGAACCAATAGCTCCAATTTTTGGTATAATTAACTCCCTTGAAGAACTAATAACACAAATATTTAGTATGATTAACTCCCTTGCAGAACTAATAACACCAATATTTAGTATAATTAACTCCCTTGAAGAACTAATAACACCAATATTTAGTATGATTAACTCCCTTGAAGAACCAATATCTCAAATATTTGGTATAAATAACTCCCTTGAAGAACTAATAACTCCAATATTTAGTATGATTAACTTCCTTGAATAGCCAAGATCTCCAATATTTAGTGTAATCAACTCCCTTGAAGAACCAATATCTCAAATATTTAGTATGATTAACTCCCTTGAAGAGGCAAGATCTCCAATATTTAGTATGTTTGACTCCCTTAAAGAACCAATGTAGTAAATGCCGTACTTATAAAACTGCTTCCAGGCCTGTATCATCCAGGTACAACTCATCAGCTATCAATGTTACAGGGACAAAAGCTCTTATGCGATCAATGACAAACCAATGGGCACGCTTTCGTCAGCTATCAATGTCAATACAGACACAAGATCTTAAGCAATTAATGCTAAAACAATGTGCATGACCTTATCAGCTATTAATGTCAACACGGACACAAGCTCAGCTATCAAAGTCAACACGGACACAAGCTCTTAAGCGATCAATGCCTAACCAATTGACACGATCTTATCAGTTATTAATGTCAACACGTACACAAGCTCAGCTATTAGTGTCAACATGGAAACAAGCGCTTAGTCGATCAATGCTTAACCAATGGGCAGGATCTCAGCTCGTATGTTTTAATGAGGACCAAATTACTTAATTCCCTGTAATCAAATACCAACTAATGTGTATTTAGAAATCTATGTTGCATGTTAAGTTAATATTTGCATTTATAAAATTTGCGCATTTGCATCATCGTAGTTAAGCTTATCAAAATACGTAGCTAGTCTAGTCGCATCACAGGTTTTGCGTAATCGAGGATTAGCGCAGTTAGATTTACAGACAATGTACAACATAATTTATCTAGGTATGTACAATTGTATTTATTACACCAATAACTCCTACTATTTAGTATTTGAAGACATAATTACTCAAATATTTTGTATGATTAACTCTCTTAAAAACCAATAACTCCAAAATTTAGTATAATCAACTCCCTTAAAAACCAATAACTCTAATATTTAGTATGATAAACTCTCTTGAAGAATCAATAACGCCAATATTTAGTAAAATCCACTATCTTGAGGAACCTATAACTCCAATATTTAGTATAATCCACTCCATTGAGGAACCAATAACTCCAACTGAATGACCTACCTTGAACCTCGGATAGATGAGATGTAAGCTGATGATACCAGGATGGATTAGTAGTTTGAATACACCCAAGAACCTTGGAAAATATTTGATCAATAATAATAAATATACTTTTCAACGCAAAATTTTGAATTTGTAACTAAGACCGGTTAAAAAACAAAAACAATTTTTGGGGCTATTCTGTTAAATTAGTACAGTGCTTCCGTTTCATACATGTACTTCATAGAAATTATAAGGGGCAAAGACATAGCATTTTAGTTTCTACTCTTAATTTCTACTTTCTCATTTAATTCTCTCAATCAATCCTTGACCAGTTTCTCCTCCCAATTCGTTCATACTCTTTTACTCCTCTATATCCAATATCCATGGATAGATTGAGAAGAGAAACTAAGCAAGGACGGGTGGAGAGGATAAACTGAGCAAGGGTGGGTTAGAAGGAGAAATTGAGAAAGAAAATATATATGTTTTATTTAGTTCATTTAAAAATAATGAATTTTAATTTTGTTTATGCTCAATTGAACTGTATATAATCAGCTCACTTCAGTCGAGCGCGAGGGAGGGAATCCTCGGACGCCATGAGCCTCCGCTATGCAGAAACGAGCCTCACAGATTTTCAAGGCAGACCAAGCCTCCGCCATGCAGTAAGAGCCTCCGCTATACAGTAAACGATGCTTAAAACTCTTGGTTTTTATATGTAGTAAAACTGTTTGCATTTTATAGTGGGATAATTTTTTTTATCAAAGATCAGAAGTATAAATCAATTATTATATGTAGTGAATAATTATGACTAGTAAAGTAGTTTATAAAACTTTACGAACAATTTTGAGGAAAAAGGAAAACATTCAGAGAAAAAATTCTGAAAGTAATTTTATTTAATATTTTATAATCTTTGATTTAAGCGATACCTTTTTTGAAATTTTTATCAGAAAAAGATAATCAAAAATTTGACATTGACAAATAATCTGAATCTCTAAAATTTCCTAAGTATTGCTTCTATCAAAGATTAAAAAAATAAACTAAGATCAATTCAGAAATGAATTTCCAAATAGCCTCCTTACTGTGTAAGTAATGTTTTATTGTAAAACATAAATCTTATAACCCGATTTATGAGTCAATATAAGTTACAAATCATGACAATCAATAAACTACATAAATCTCAGATAAAATTTGTGTGCAACTATGTTAAAAAAATGAAGGAAAAAAATATATTACATGTAAAAACCAAGAGTTATAAGCAGTGCTTAGGATCCGGATCCGTTGGATCCGCAAGATTTTGGCTCGGATCCAAGGGGTAAAATATCAACCAAAAACTGCGAAAAACCTTTTTTACTTCTAAATCCAAAATCTGAACTTTTGAAGAAAAGAGAGATTGTAAAAATTTCCTCATATCTGAATGATTCATCAAGTTTTAGGATAAAAATATGCGAAAAAAATAAAACAAAAAATTTGAAAATTATTTTTTGTTAAAAAGATTCAGTAAATCTTATAGAAATGACCTGGATCCGGATCCGGATTTGGATCCAGATCCATTTTTTCCCAGTGCAGATCCAGGATCCGGATCCGGATCCGCATCAAAATTAAATGAATCCTAAGCACTGGTTATAAGGAAGCTATGCTGTATAGCGGAGGCTCGTTTAATACATGGCGGAGGCTCGTACTGCATTGCGGAGGCTAGGTCTGTCCAGATAATCTGGAAGGCTCGTGCCTGCATGGCGGAGGGCTCCCTCCCTCGTCTAACTTTGAGATCAATAGGAATTATTATTTGGATCCAGAGGATGATCCAAAAAAAACAAGAATTAGCGTTTTCAAGCCTCAATAATCTTTAAAAAATTAATTTTACAAGTACTCTAGTGTATATATAGCTTTTAATTTAAAGTGGTCTTCAAAGTAATGCTTTGTAGTGTGATGCTTCCGTTTGGCGTAAAACTTTGTCGAATGTTCGAAAACCTCTCGGTTTACTTTCAACAATTAATAATGCTTAAATCGATTAATACACCAGCTATACGAGTAAAAGTCTGAAAGTTTCCCTATTTCGAGAAACCCTAACCGTCGACGTAGTAAAGTTTATACAATGTTTATATTTCAAACTATTTCTGGAAGAGTTCCTAATTTGATGCTCTGACGAAAAATCTCCTATTTTTGCAGTTCGCAACCATAAGAATGGATTGCTGCAACCTCTCTTTATAAGTTTCTCTTAATGGAGTTCTGGGTTTAGGACTACGTTTATGCCTAGGATTTCAGAAAGCCCAGAAAAAAAATCTAAGAGGGTTCAGATATTTGTTAATGATTTTTGTTTGTTCCCAAAACAATATTGGTTAGCTCAGTTAGCTAAAGTTAACGGAGAGATTTTCTAATATTCGACACAGTTTTACACAGGATCGGACGAGGCTTCCAAAATGTTATGTCTCTGCTCCTGATCATTTTAATGAAGTAAATTAAGATAAGGTCGGTATCAATTATAATAATCATTAAATATGTGCTTAGAGTTACCTCCTTGAAAATGTTGTATTCATCAACATTTTCTCCTTCCTCGTCATCTAATGGTGTGGTATAGGCCTAAACAATTATCATTGTTTCTACTGAATTATTTAAAAATCGATGCTGAATCTAATATATTTCTAAGCAAGATTCTAAGCAGATGTAATGAAAATCATGAAATGGAATCTGCAAAGGATCCAGATTGAACCCCTCAGTCTTTTTATGGGTGTGATAAATAAAGCGGGGGCGGATAGTTACGAGCATGCTGCAAAGATTAAAACCATTGCAAATCTGTTTCGTGACGATTCACTCTTATAGGATATTATGATGAATAGCATTATTTCTAAGTGATAGTTGCAACCACCCTATATGAACTGTGTATACTGTATGTAAACATTACAATTATTTTTTACAAACATTGAGCATAGCCCTACTTCAAGGTTAAATCAGTTATATTCGAACCGTTTAAGATGTAGGAGCTACTGACTCACCTGAGCGTTTATGGTATGTAGATTTATAAATTTGATATTTAGCATATGTTCTGTCATTAAATGTATTCTATATTTGCTATTTCACTATCGTATATTTCAGTTTACACAAATAACCGAAGAATAAAGATTAGATAGTACTCTTGAACTCTTCAACTATTAGTACGAGAGTATTTCCGTAGTCCCGGATCAGATTGAGATTAGACTATGATTCCTACACTTTTATTTTAATTATCCAATATACACTCAACAAAATCAACCAAACTTTTGCATTAGAAAAATAACGAAATTTGATCGTTATAAACTCGATTTTGTCAAGAAGACAAACAATTTATTTCCCATACATCTGATAAACTCATTCTTACTCTTACTCTTCTACAGTGGGATCCGACCATAAAACTGTAGAAAAGAAATAAATATGATTTTAAATTAAATAATGGACATAATACACGCCAATTGTTCAGTCTACACAGACCCTTTTTTAACAACATAAAATATACGCAAGATTGCTTTAAAGTCGTGTTTCTATTCCACAATTTTATACATCTCATTGTACTTATCCAACTCCAATATAGCTTAAGATACTTTAAAGTCAATTAATACCTCCAGACTAGTTTCCTCGCAGCCGTCGTAATCATCATCAGAGAGATCATCCTCACTATCCTCGGCATCCTCGATACTTGCAGTTATCTTAAACCCTTCAGCTGATCCAGCCTTCTTCACCTTTTCCTGAACATATTATAGATAAATCTTTCTGATACATAGTCAGGACTTTAGTTTTACCAGACACATTTGAAAAATTATATCAACTACTTGATAAGAAAAAGAATTAAAACTTAGATAGGAACTTTTGATTCAGATATACGTTAAGCCATATTGGTCGTCTCCATGCGATACGGTAAAAACGGGTAGGAACGAAATAAAAAGCTGTAGAAAAGTTTTAGATGTAAGGTAAGGTAAGTAAGAAAGAAAATAGGTCTAAAGGAAGGGACAGACAAAATGACAAAAAATATCTATCAAATATTCATGTGGCTTATTTCATATGTAAAAAATATGACAAGTTAAAAATATATTCAATATAAGAAAATTAATATTATTCCATCAAAAGGGATGCTTGAACTAACCATAAAAAATGTGAAGATACCTGAAGACTTTCTAAATACACTTGTCCGTCATCATCTAATTCATCTTCATCGGAGTCCAGCAGTTCATTATCGACTCCATCCTCTCCATCCTCATCATCATCTTCGTCATCAGAATCATCCTCATTCCTAAATAGATAGAAGCTTAAATTGCGAATATTAAATCTTTCCTTATTTATCACAAAAAGTTGGATATAAGTTAACTACGATAAAAAAATTAGTTGAAATTAAAGTATATCGCAATCGCAGTTATATATATTGCTATAATTTGTTTAGATTCATATATTTTGTTGTATATTCATGATTAATAAAGTTACTAAGAAGTAGAAATATTTAAAAAAGAAATTCAAGTGAAGTGACAACAAATCGCAGAAAATTCTGTCACAGAAATCACGTTTGTGGATTCAAATTCCATCAATTACCTTGCTGCATAAGCTCTCTTGAGCCCATCAAAAAGAAGAATAATTGAAGGAACCAATTGCTGGGCAGTAGCAGCTATTGCAGGTTTATCTGGCATTTGCAGCAAATGACAAAGACCCAGCACACAAATCTAAATAAATCCAACAATATACAATCGGTAATAAAAATGAATTTGCATGAAACAAAGGCGGAGAAAACAGGCTGTTCAATAGTAAAACATTTCTCAAGACGCAATGTTTATTTATTTTAAACATTTTAGATTTCAGCGCTGAATCCAAATTTTCTATGAGTGTACGAGAAGAAAAAAGACGAATTTTTAGTCGGTATTAAATGTATAACCTTTCTATCATGGAGTCCAATAAAGCAGTCAGTGTCATGAATCCACTGTTGAATAAATTGAGCGAAAACGTTTTCTCCCATTTTATCCAAGGTATCCACCAGAAGTACAGGATTGTAATACATGGCTGCTATTATCACCTGAAAAAAATAAGTTTCCAACAATGTAACAAACCCCCGAAAAAAGTCCCCATTTTTCTGTTGGATGTTTGTTTCAAGCAACCCATGTGCCCGCTTCAATAGTTAATCATATTGAATTGACATTTATTATTTCAAATATACCTGGAGACACATTGTTCTCAATTCTGATGTTTTAACTTCCCTGGTCAACCTTTTCAGCACCAATTCAATAAAGATCGGGATAACCTAGGTATTAAATGATTAAATAAACAAACAAGGTTTGATTGTACATAAAGTTGTTTCTAAAGGTAACCTCGAGTCAACAACATATTTGTTTATCGGTGGAAAAAGTATGAAAAAAAATCATAACTAACTACTAATTCGTCAACCGTTTTTGCTGAAATTACCTTCCCAGTGTCCGAGTTTAATGAATTTGAGCCGCGGCTTAAATCTGCCAAAAACCGGTTTCAATTGAGCGCCGGCTTAAATCTTGAAAATTTGAATACAATTTTAAGTGGAACCAACCATATTTGAGCCGCGGCTTAAATTTAAGCCGTGGCTCCAATTCTTTAAATTCCGCTTCAAATAACATTTTAAACAAAAAAGATCTCGAGACTTCCTTGTAAAGTAAATCATCTTACTTCCCCAAGTTCTCAAGATCCGGTTCCGCAGTATAATGGTTCCCTGGACTGGAAACGCAAACGTTTTTCAATCCACTAGGTGAGCAGAGGCCGAATTTAAAGAATTTAAGACGCGGCTCAAATTCATTAAATTCGGACACACGTCCGGAAAATATTACTAAAATTACCGAGTTCTTAATATATCCAATTTTTTTCCACTAATAAGAGATCCGTAAAACCCCCCGATCTTAGATTGGTAATCTAGTTATGGGAAATTTGGGGGGGGGGGAAATCTGAAATTTTTATTTCAAATTTAATTTATTTTTTACAGGACGGGTCACTCACTTCCTTGTTCTCACCTGATCTATATTTAGTCCTTTACACTGGAGAATTATAACTTCCAACAATTTAGCAGCATGGCATTCTGGATCCTCCCCTGGATCACTCTTTAAAAAAAAAAAGTTCCAGTTAACAAATAAACTCCAAAGTGATTATTCAAAATTTAAGTGCTTTTTAAATTAAAAATATACTGCGAGTTTTTTCAAAAAACTAATTTCCCCCATATTCGGCAAAAAACGAGATTAAGCACATAAGTTTAAACTTAGCAAAATATAATAATAATTTTACCTCAAGCATAGTTCTAGCCATGTTGTACATCGCCATCATGTAGTCTGGGGTAGACAAAAACGCCTAAATTAATGTTCAGTTAATTCCAAATTGACTTGCATCCGGCGCCATAGTTTAACAATTAAATAAATTTTTAATTATTAATTACTAATAATTACCACTGTGTCAACAGTTACATAATTGTGAAGAGCTGGCATCATATCGGTGAAATAGTCCACTCCATCTCTCTGGAATACAGTGTACATCACCTAAATAAATATAAGCTGTACAATACTGACAATTTAAACGTAAAAGTTTGTTACTTCATATTTGCATTTCTTAATATTTTTTTTTGAAAAATAAAAATTAAAAAATGTAACTGGGGGAGACAATTTTTAGAGAAAACATAAACCCAAGGCTTTTGTTCGCCAAAAGCTCAAGGTTTCATTTTCTCAAACTATTAATTTCTTTACGACTACAACCTTCCTTGATCCTACCAAGCCATCTGAAGTTTAATTGAAATATAAATGATTTATAATTCCAAATATCTGGCGTTTTTATTCTCTTCTTACCTCCAGCATTTTCCACATGTTTTCAGAAATGGCCTTAGTTGTGAGATCACAGGTCAGAGACATGGCCTAAGTAAATTTAAATCAGACCTTATCTTTTGGTGAACATTTGAAAAAAAATTTAATTTTAGGTTAAAGGGAGTGTTCGCGAAAAATGAAAGGGGATATAGGCCTAATGCGATAAAAAAGCGTTTTTGATCGCTTCTAATCTTACTTCTATATGTTGCGTCTATACGGAAAAAAATTGTTTAAAAGGACTAATACCGAAGAACGTAGTGTCCATACAAATTCAGAAAGATTCAACATTCAACTCGGATCGTAAACAAATCAATTTATTTCCAAACAAATCGTTCAGATATTACAAACAATAATCATCGATTATTTTTCGACGCATTCGTAAATAGTTGATATTTCATAATATTTTGTATTTTTTATGATCTGAGAGTTACTTTTAAAAACATTTATTCCTGTTTCGAGGATTTTTGATAATGAAGACGACATTTTCATATTTTCCAGGAATGTTCGAAAATCCAGCGCCAGTGAAATATTATTTTTAAAAAGAAATCAAAACTGATTTAGTTGGAATTAAATTGATTTTTCGCGAACACTCCCTTTAACAATTAAAGAAAAGTACAATTATCCTGAAAAAAGTATTACGGTCTGAATGTAAAAGAATAAACATTTTTTCAGTTCCTTTATATGAAACTCAAAAGCTCATTTAGCACTTGTACTATTTTTTCTAACAGAGTTAATAGTCTGAATTTTTAAAAGGTCTACAAACATCAGGTTACAGAGATATAAGAAGTAGCAAATTAGAGTTTAAAGGAAAATAAATTTCCATTATGTAAATTTTCCCCAAAAACTTAAAATAAAGGAAAAATTTAAAGCATTTTATACTAATTATTGAGAATATGTGTATTGCTAGGGTTACCTCCTCATAGAATTCCATAATTGAGTTTGTGAATATATGATGAATTGCCTGCAGTACTACAGGTTCCAGGGCAGCATGCACCTAGATAATACGACTTAGAAGTCTGTTTTGTGCAACTCCATCCAGTTTGCCACAGATCCGGTTTACTGTTTTTTACTAAAAACGCCAATATGCAATATGGATCCAACTTAACTAAGGAGTTAATATTATCTCAAAACCAGTTTGTTATGGATCCCGACTCGTTATTACTAAAAATTCACTAGTATGGTTGGATATAAACCAACGTGGAAATCACATTCTTAATCCAAAAATCAGTCTCAAAGAAAATTAAAAACTTTAATACTTACAATTTCAGGATTTTCGGGAAGATTAAAATTTCCACCCATCCTATTTAAGTTACCTCTGCTCGCTCCTCCATGACTCCGAGGATGGTCTCCATGGTGTTAAGAAGACCCATGGCAGTGATAGCTTTCTCATCTCCGCTGTCAGCTGCTTCAAGAACCTGACAACGAACAAATAATATTTCATGCTACCATTCACTGTTATTAGATCAATAATTTAATCAAATATCAAATAGTTCATCAATAAATCAATTAATTTATTAATAAATCAATTATCAATAAATCAATTAATTTATCAATAAATCAATTAATTTATCAATAAATCAATTAATTTATCAATAAATCAATTAATTTATCAATAAAATAACTAATTTTTCAATAAATAAATTAATTTATTCATTTATCAATTAATTAATCATTTTATAAATTAATTTATCAATGTATCCATTAATTTATCCATATCAATTAATTTATCAATATAAGTATATTAATTTATCAATACATAAATCAATTTATCAATATATCAATTAATTTATTAATATATAAATTAATATATCAACATACCAATTAATTTATCAATAAATCAATTAATCAATCAATTAACAACTCAAATGGAAAATTTCCACATTATTTCCGACAATCTCGGAAAGAGACTTAGTTCGGTCTTCCACTCAAACTCGCACAAAAAAACCGCAGCTCATGACAAATTTGGTACTTTCTACTTTTTCATCTGGTCTAATCTAAGCAATCAAGCAATCAACTTATTAGTCAACCAACCAATCAACCATGTTTCACAACCAATCAATCAATCATGCTTCACAGCCACCCAAGACGATCTAAATCTACTACCTGAGCAAATGTTCCCACAAGATGTTGGCAGATATCAACAGCAACTGGAACCAACTACATAACAATACAAACTTATCAGAGGGGGGTGGGAACTACACATCAATAATAACAGTATTATTTTTGCTTTAAAACGAAAAACTACAAAAATGATATTATAATTAGTCCTGAACAATTCTTCTCGAAAAATTCTCAAATGAAATAATTAGGAACAAATACATATATTTAATATTTTTTAAATCTTCAATTACGAAAATTATCAAGTAATCTATACCAAAGTATTTTGAATCGTAAAAATATGAAAGCTTAAAATATGTTTAAATTCACAATCGTCGATTATGTAAAAATAACGCCACACTGTATGTTTGCAATATATAGAACGTTAGATCTTAAACTTGAACCGTTTTAAAGAAATAATTATTTAAATTTGAAAAATAAAGAAATTATATAGATTTGTAAGAATAAACGAGATTTTTCAGTGTTTCAGGTTGGATATTTTTAAATCTTCATTTTTAGTCTCTTCATGAATACTTTTAGACTTATTTAATATTTTGTTTGTACAATTCCTGCTCTGTGTAAGTACAGACTATTTTTTGCATCACACTCGTCAGATCATCGTTTTCTGTCTCCCTATAATAAAGAATTTTATGTGACAAGTCCTTTTTAACAAAATGCAGCTGCATTAAGAAGTTCTTAACTTACATATCTGTATAAAAGTTTTTCGCTCAAATATATTCTTATATATGTACTTGAGCTAACACTTGATTTAATAAAAAGGGCGACTAAACGGTGGAAGTAACCATGAAAATAATATCTAGCACACCGGTGTCCGAATTTAATGAATTTAAGTCGCGCCTCAAATTTCCCAAAAAACCGGTTTCAATTGAGCGCCGGCTTAAATCTTGAAAAATTTAATACAATTTAACCAATTTAAGCCGCGACTTAAACTCTTTAAATTCGGACTCGGGTACTGAATTACCTGATAATCTTAAGGAGTTCCAGAGTAATTTCTCGTATTTGAGGTTCAAGGTATTGCCTTGCTGCCTCTCCTTTACTAGTTAACATCATCTGTACAGCTATAGCAGCCTCAACCTGCATTAAAAAAAAATGTAATTCTAAACGTTTAGTTAAGTCAAAAGTCTAAATTGCAAAATTGACACTACAAAGACTTATTTTATATTTGGTTCTCATTATCTAGAGAATTAACGTTAGAATTCTTATTTTCTTTTCATTAGAAAAGAATGATTTTTACGCTTATATAAAATATAAATATAAAATGGAACGTAAAGCAATAATTTCTACTGAAATATGATATTTGAGAGGTTGAAGAAATAATCCAATGCTTTTTTGTACTTTAAATGTGGAAAAAATATTTCAAGTATAGCCGGCATGGGGGAGCTATTTTTTTAAAATTAAATTTAAATAAAATGTTTTTAACCTTGACTGGTGCTTCACTGTCATGAAGAAGACAATGGACAGTGAGCCTGAAAGCTTCCCTAAGAACCGTCTCATTGTTGTACTTCACGTCAGAGAAATAGTGGAGCACCCAACATGCACGAGCCCTGTTAGAATAATGTATAAATAATTTCTTTCATCAAATACCGGGGTGAAGAGTAAGAGTATGTTTTAATTGTTGTGATCTGAGAGTTACTTAAAAAAACGTTTATTCCTGTTTCGAGGATTTTTGGCAATGAAGACGACATTTTCATATTTTCCAGGAATGTTCGAAAACAAGTTGTAAGCTAAATATTATTTTTTTTTAAAAAATCAAAACTAGTATGAAATATTAAATATATACAAATGTGGCGAAAGATAATCGATGACTATAGGTTGTAATATCTGAATGATTTGTTTGATATTAATTTGATTTTTTTACGGTTTAAGTCGTATGTTCCAACTTCCTCAATTTGTATGGGCGCTACGCTCTTCGGTATGAGACGTCTTTATCAATTTTCTCCTTATAGACGCAACAGATAGAAGGAAGATTAGTAGCGATCAAAAGAGCTTTTATATCGCATTAAGCCTATACCCCCTTTCATTTTTCGCGAACACTCCCTTTAAGGTTAAAATAAAAGTTAAGAATCTTATTCTGGGAAAATATTCAAATCCTCCAAGAATGTAGTATGATATTATATAACTACAATTTTGATTATTACACTTTCTTCCTACGCCTAATATACTAATATTCACCTGAGGTGTCCGTGTGGAGACCCGAACTCCCTGAACACTATCTCAACCAGGAACTTCTCCATCTGCTCTTTATACATTGGTTTCTTTAACAGGATATCGGCCATTGTTCCAATCATGTGGAGGGCTCCATCCTTCTGACTGGGATTCGTCCCAGGCGCCTGGTTTTTAAAATTTAATATTAACTTCTTTTAGAAATAAATATGTTATGATTGAATTCCTATATTTTTAACAAAGTCCAATTACATATTACCCAACCCAATCCATGCAAATGAAATGTGAGTACAAAAATGTATGAAATAAGCAATTATAGAATTAATATAAAAAAATATTGGCCTGAAAATAATGAATTATAACTTAGCTCCTTACTAGTTTCAGTTTCAGGTCAACGTAACAAGGCAAGAAGTCCCCATATAATTATCAATACACCCCCCTGCCCCCCACCCCGACGCATTTCTCCCCAATTGAAAAAAATAATTTTATATTTCTTGTTTATTTTCTCTAGTTGATTAAATTCCTGAATGATCTGAAGAAGAAGTGTCATCGTCTTCTGTAACATCTCCTTCCTTTTTTTGCAAGCTGAGTGCAACAATGTCTGCGCTGCAGTTACAGGAGAAACAAAATCCTTATATAAAAAAATTGTAGTTTATATGATGTAGATAAATATCAATATTAAAACGACAGATTTTCATAGCATTAAAGTTCGTATATAATAAGTTAATGACGTAAATGTTTTTTACTTTCCTACAGATTCTTTAATGTAAATGCTTATCTAACTTCTTCTGAAAACTTGCAAACGTTTAGTATCTTAGAACTCCTTTTTTGCAGTCGTTTACTTAAATTTTGTCAATCTTACTGTTAACCTCAAAAAACAACATCGAAAAAGTAAGAACAGAAACACGAAAAAAGAACTTTAAATGGTCCCTTTATAAAGAACTTACTTCAAATATATCGAATTTGATCCTGATGTACTCGTACGGATCCGAATCCCAGAGTTCTGCGTCTTGTTCGCTGTAAGACATCAGTGGGAACACAATATCCTGAATATTCACTGATTTTAATATAATATTTACCTTACATTTACAATTATTTCACTTCTTCTAAAGCAACAAGAAATGAGACACCCAAATAATTCTTTTCACCCAAAACAAATACTATTCTCACACATGACAATTTAAAAATTCTTTCTTCACAAAGTAAGGGATTTCTTAACAGAAGGGGAAGGAGAGAAGGCGAGGGAAAAGGATATTTATCAGAACCAAAATCCCCTCAAATCAGTTAAACCTTATACCTGAATAATCTGAAGCATGTGGGGTTTGATTAGTTTCCAGGAGTGGGAATGGCTTACAGCGGTGTTAATATAATTCAACGCCTGTTGCATCACCCTAGTGAACAAACATTTCTAGAAACACTTTAGATTAAGGAATAATTCCAACCTTTAATAATGGATATAAAATATCCAAAATGTATGATATTTTAGGATAACCCTGCAGTCAATGAAATAATGGATGTAAATTCATATCCAAAATCTACGACCACTGAAATCATTAACTCATCTAATTCTAAAAAGGTTGATGTAGATTTATTGATTTTATACATTATATTTTTTTAATTGATAGTTTAGAAACGGTTCCTTTATCTTATCTAAGAAATAAGTAATTAAAAAAACCTTACCTCGGAGAAACATAAATCTTCTGCCTGTATTGATCAAGGTTTGTCAGCATAGATGTTAGAATTCCACCGGAGAAGGTTTTAAGAAACCACTCAGCAAACTCCTTATACTCCTTTGTAACACTTCCAGGTGAACCATACCTTTCAAAAATGATAAATGTAAAAGTGAAAAAAAAATTAGGTGAGTAAAACACAAAGCATTATTTTTCGAATATCACTAATGGACATTTTATTTTGCGAGCTGTTTTGTGTAAAATCGCTTATTTTATAAATGGTCACCCATAGATTTCAGAATAACATTAATACGTGCAGGAAATCTGAATTTTCTCAAAATAATTCTCGTTTTTTGAAGTAAACAACTTGGTGTAGGTGGTTTTAGGTCTCTCCAGCTTTTCAAATAAAATAAATTATACCTCTCAAAGAGTCTTGTAAGGGTATGAAGAGCCCACTTCTTCCTTTTCCACCAGATTAATTCAGGTCTGTCCTCTTCATCAGCCTAAATATATAATTAATATTTTTATAGTTCAATTCTGCACTCTATTTTTTATGCAGGGGAGTAAATGTTTTATGAATCCCCCCGGCACCACAGTGGTTCCGGAAGGCATAGCAGAGAGGGGACGAGAGTTTTTATCAATTGTTTGAAAAAATGTAATTTCGGTTTTTTTGCATCTGAACTCTGGAATATGTTTTGTATCCAATATCAGTTTAGAGAAAATTCGAGCCGGTGCGCGCACGCTTTAAGAAATTTTCAATTTTTTATGATAATTCGACACTTTGAGACGCCAAACTTTGTACAGGCTGCGTTTGGTCCTACAAATTGAGTTATGAGGCTGAGAAAACATACACCCTTGCTTTTATGGAGATCAAAGGGAAGTGAATTCAAATTTATTTCCATTCTTCATCTTTATTTCTCTTCCCTGTTATTCAGATTTTGATTGGAGCAAAAGCTGTAATTTACAATACTAGAAATTCAAGGCGCTTCGCGCCCATCTTCTATTTAAATTAGGAACATGTTCGAATTGTTTACATTTCAAAACAAAGATGAAAAAAGTTTTGCGGATTTTTAAAAAAAAAAATCGCGGATTTTCAAAAATTTAAATTTTTTTACAAAATTAAAAACCTCTTAAACACAAATTTTTAAAATTTCTATCATTCATAAACCTTCCCTGGGGTCCCTAGATGTCCCACAAAAAATTTGGGCCCGATCGATTCAGCCGTTTTGACGTTTATTGGATACAAACAGACAAACAGACAAGCCAAATTTATATATAGATACATCCCTGTGGTTCGAGTAATATAAGGTCCGAGTAGTTCTAGTAAAAGGTCCGAGTAGTTCTAGTAAAAGGACCGAGTAGTTCTAGTAAAAGGACCGAGTAGTTCTAGTAAAAGGTTCGAGTAGTTCTAGTATAAGGTCCGAGTAGTTCTAGTAAAAGGTCCGAGTAGTTCTAGTGAAAGGTCCAAGTAGTTCTAGTGAAAGGCCCGAGTAGTTCTAGTTAAAGGTCCGAGTAGTTCTCGTAAAAGGTCCGAGTAGCTCTAGTAAAAGGTTGAAGTAGTTCTGGTAGAAAGTACGAGTAGTTCTAGCTGGAGTAGTTCTAGTTGGAGTAGAGCTAGATAAAGCTTTAAGTAGTTCTAGTAAAATTTTTGAGTAGTTCTAGTAAAAGCTTCAAAGTAGTTCTAGTAAAAGGTTTGAGTAGTTCTGGTTAAAGGTTCGAGTAGTAGTTCTAGTTAAAGGTTCGAGTAGTGCTAGTTAAAGGTTCGAGTAGTGCTAGCAGTGGCGTAAATAAGGGGGGTTATTGGGGTTATTTACCCCCCCCTAGAATCCTGGGGGTAAATACCCCCCCCTAGAATCCCGGGGGTAAATACCCCCCCCTAGAATCCTGGGGGTAAATACCCCCCCCCTAGAATCCAGGGGTTAAATACCCCCCCCTAGAATTCTAGGGGTAATTACCCCTGAACATATTTTCAGGCCCTGAATAGCAGGGGTTACTCCATTTGCTGCCTCTACAAGTAACAGTTCCAGTTGCCTTGACCCCTTCCCTTCAAAAAAAAAATACATTCCCTATTGATTAGTCTGCACTTGTGTAAAGACGACTATTTTCATGATAGTAAAAGTTTTTGCGGCATTTTGCAGATGCTTAAACTTTTAGTTCGGTTACTTCAGCAAAGTTCACTCACACACAACTCGTCATANGAAAATGCAAATCAAACCCAACTTAAACCAATAATTTAATATACATCATGATTTTTTTCTAGGGGGGGGGGTTAAAAAATTCTAGGGGGGTAAAAATTTCCCCCCCCCCCTACAGAATCCTTATTTACGCCCCTGAGTGCTAGTTAAAGGTTCGAGCAGTTCTAGTAAAAGGTTCGTGTAGTTCTAGTAAAAGGTTCGAGAAGTTCTAGTTTAAGGTTCGAGTAATCCTAGTTAAAGGTTCGAGTAATTCTAGTAAAAGGTTCGAGCAGTTTACCTGTAGAGTATGAGCAGGAACATCGACCTCCGCCAACTGTCTCAAGATCTCCATCCAATTACTGAACACTTCTCTAAAAAAGTGCTTGTAATTATTATGAATAATTCAAGGTTTCAACTTTTTTTGAGAAATTTTTAGATGATTTAGGTGAAAAAAGTATTTAAAAAAGGTGGAAACAACTGCCAGTTGATTTCAAATTTTTCCTCAGAGCATCATTCTTGATAATCTATACCACTGTTTTGTTGCAAAAAAATTGTATACCTTGAAATAAGGTCTAACGGTAGAACATACTGGGTGAGAGCAAAGAATATCTTTAATATCTGTTTCTGAACTGCTACACTGTCTGCGCTGTCGTCAGGCATCATCTTAATTAATAAATTAAACATTCGGTACGCTATAATAGTAATTATAATTACTGCAATTATTTTTTTCTAAATAATTTTTTTGAACGTTGAACAGATAACGTACTCATTTCGGGAATTTTAGATATCATTGTTGCATTTAATGGATTTCTTTCTCGCAATTCTCATTTTTTTTTTCCTTTCCCGAGATAAAAAAAAACTATAGAATCAACGAACTTATTTCTGATTTTTTTTATTTCCTGTCCCGTAACAAACAAAAAAATAGAAACTTGTTTAACGATGACAATTAACTTATTCACCAGTGTAAGAAACTCATTCAAAGGAACCAAGAAACTTGTTTTCCATGATCAAGAAACTTGTTTATCGAGGCTTCCAAAACCAAGAAACCTTTTTATCAAAACTCCAGAGACCAAGAAACTAGTTATAAGAATGTTAAAACATATTCACCGAAACCTAGAAATGGACCTGAAAGAAGAACCACAGAATGANTTCCATGATGAACCAAAAAAATGTATTTACTGTATAAGTATCCGCATGTCTCTTTGAGGGATTCATAAGATGGACACTAAAAATTCAGCATCAGGGCTTGTTGGGTTAAACTTTACTTCATCAAGTAGTACCTGAACCATTAAGGTGTATATTTGAGGAAGAAGAAGATTCATAGCATCAGTTAAAGGTTTCCGTTCCTCAGTCTTCTTGTATTCAAAGTTCTTAGTCAGCTGGTACAAACAGAGCAAGCTTCCCATCCAACCTGGGATATCAAGAGTCAAATACATAAATTTTCATCTTTCACTTATACCAACTTAGGAAGTGTTCTGGGTTTTAAGCCTCTAGCCAAGGTTTCCGGGGTTTAAGGTTCAATCCAGGCGGGTTCCGGGTTTTATGTTTCTATCCGAGGATTCTGGATTTTATGGTTGTACCCGAAGATTCTGGATTTTATTGTTGTACCCGAGGATTCTGGATATTATTGTTGTACCCGAGGATTCTGGATTTTATGGTTGTACCCGAGGATTCTGAATTTTATGGTTGTTCCCAAGGATTCTGGATTTTATGATTGTACCCGAGGATTCTGGATTTAATGGTTGTACCCAAGGATTCTGGATTTTATTGTTGTACCCGAGGATTCTGGATTTTATGGTTGTACCCGAGGATTCAGAATTTTAAGGTTGTACCCGAGTATTCTGGATTTTATGGACTCTACCCAGTTGTGCTGAGGTTTGTAGTTCTTTCTGGGCTTTATGGTTCTACCTCGGAGTTTGTCATTATATTTAAGGGTTCTAGTTTCTGGGTTTGCCTGAAGGCTGAAGGTTAAGATTCTAATTTTTAAGGTACTACTGAAGGATTCTGGGTTGAGATTTCAATTAAGTCTCATGGGTTTTGTAGGTTTCCTGAAAGTCCTGGCACCCGAGTGTTAAAGGTTCTACCCGAAGGTTCTAGATTTTGAAGAGTTTACATGATGGTTCTGACTGAAGGTCATACCTTAAGGTTTTGAAGATTTTACTTGAAGGTTGTGTCTAAAGGTTTGAAAGTTATACCTGAGGGTTCTGGATTTTGAAGGTAAATGGACACTTTATCCACTACTTGAGGCCATCTCCCCGGGAAATCATGCTTCACAATTTGACTGACACAAACCGCCAGCTGGACCCTAAAAATTTCGAAATAGAAAAAAAAACTAATAATATCGACTGAAGAAATCCCCAAGATACTTATAAAAAATGTCGGCGTAAATTCTCAATATAAATCAATCAATCGAATTGAAAGGTGTGATTGTGAATCATTAACAGCAAATTCAAATAGAGAGTCACGTGAAAGTACGATGCTAATCTCCTCAATATACATAAATACTAACTAACCTGATGATGTCTGGAGCGTGAACTACAGCTTCCACAATATTGTCCCGGATGACAGCTCTGTCCTGTTCATGTATAGAAAAGGGTACAGGAGCTCCAGGAGCATCAGGTTCACGTTCCTTCCAGTTCGTGCTCACCTAATATAAATGTATATAAGGTATCAAGGTATCTTGAGTAGAACCAGATATACTAACCCTTTCGTGAAAATCAGGTTGCTAGCATATATCAGTAAATCTTGAGTCGAACCAGAAAGAATAAACCTTTTTTTTGATATCAGATTGTTAGCATAAATCAAGTTATCTGATGATGAACCAGATAAATTATCCCTTTAGTGAACGATCAGGTTGTTAGCATATATCAGGGTATCTTGGGTAGAACCAGCTTACTAACCCTTTAGTGACAATCAAGTTGTTAGCAAATATCAGGGTATCTTGGGTAGAACCAGATATATTATCCCTTTAGTGACAATCAAGTTGTTAGCATATATCAGGGTATCTTGGGTAGAACCAGACATATTATCCATTTAGTGATAATCAAGTTGTTAGCATATATCAGGGTATCTTGGGTAGAACCAGATATATTATCCCTTTAGTGACAATCAAGTTGTTAGCATATATCAGGGTATCTTGGGTAGAACCAGCAAACTAACCCTTTAGTGACAATCAAAAAAGAGAGGGTCCGCTTCTTTCAAACTGAGCGCAAATAAAGGCAAATTTTACATCTCAATTTTTGCTCATCAATATTACCATGTTCTTGAGATAGATGACTGCAGCTTGTCTGACCGGTAACTCTATATCCTGACCCATCACTATCTGCAGGACCAGGGGGCCAAACCCAATAATCTTGTGAAGCTGAAATAAAATAATTCATCAATTTAAAAGAAAAAAATTGAAGAATAGAAGTTTTGCATAAGCAAAAAAACTTTAATTCAAATAGTTATAATGACTTTCGTAACATCAAAAGGATGCATATCACACTTTTTGAGGAAATCATTTGTTCTCTCAGTCAGATAGGGTTTTTACTTTGTGAGAAGAAAAAAACCAGTGTTTTATTCCTCCGAACATCGTAATCAATTAGGCATCAGAGGGGGAAGGGGATTTGAAAATGTCCCCTACTGAAAGTTTCTGCAAGGTCAAGTAATTATAGAGATACATTTTTGTCAATAATTCTTCAGGGTCCGGATATATCTTTACCTCGGTTAGTTTCTTCTCAGCTTCATTCCTATGATTTGGGTCTATAGTGCCCTGGAAAACAGAAAAATATATTTAAATAACTGAAGTAACTATTAATACAGATACTTTATTTTACAAAATACTTCAGGAAAACAAGAAAGATAGAGAAAATAAAATTGATGAAAGATTTGTTTGACACTTGTTATTTCCAACATAATATTGTAGCTAGATTTTTAAATGTTATAATAACAGAAATGTTATTTGAGCTAAATTTTTAAATGTTTTAGAATAAACTACCTTTAGAAGCTCCGCCAACTGTTTCGTGTCCATTTCCTTCTGAAATAACAATTTTTTACTACATGTTCACCAATATGAGTGGAAGGGGACCTAATTTTAGTTATAAAGTATTTCAACGTCTTAATAAAGGGTAATGGCAGGGGTAAGTTAAAGATCAAAATTAATTTACAAGCTTCAAATGCACCAATAGTGAATTATCTAGGACAAGGCCAACAATAAAATAGGCTCAATTCTAGAGAAAGATTTCCCTCATGGGCGTTGGAAGTTTAGCCTAGGGGGGTGAGAATTCTGCCGCCGAAATATTTTTTGATTCACGCCCATAACAAATAAAGAAATAAACCAATCATACACGACGTCACAAGTTTCAAATATAACAAGTAAAACTAAATTTTCTCACATTAGTTGAAAAGTTTTCCAAGATAAAATAAAAAGTGGAAAGAAAATAAACTACATATATAATTGCACTTATTTTACTGTAATATAAGCCCTTTGTTCTAAAATTATCACTATTATTTATAAGTTTGTCGGACACAAAAACTAGGTTGACACGTGTGACGTAAGAATACTGCTGTCCTGAGCGTATACAAATTCTATATTGCCATCTATTGTACTATACTATTGGCCCATAGTAGTGGAAGTTCACCCCCCCCCCCTAAAAAAGTCTTAAATTCAATATTAACCCAATAAAGACGGGGGGGGGGGCTTATTATAAGTATAGACGGGGGGCCTCCCAGGCCCCCCCCCCCCCAGCAAAGCATGGTTCATAGCCCAAAATTTTCAAGTCCAGCTCATTGAAAAATAAGAATCAGACCACTAACTTTTATTGTTTGGGTGCCATGGAGGTTAAAAAAGTGTCAAATAAAAAGGTCGGAAATTGGAGGCGTGTTTAAAGGGTATACAAGCCTATCCCTGGGTCAGGGGGGTCTGTATAGGCAAGGCCGTGGGGTTCTCGCCCCCCTAGAACGCCCCTTGTCTCCCCCTTTCATCAATTAGGGTTTGGGTGACAATTTCTGCAGGACAGGCTATCAAGGTCAAGCCATAGGTTGAGTAAGGTCCATGTAAAAAATTGAAATGAGATTAGAGGGACTTCAAAAAACCATTCTCTAGAAAATTAATAAAAAATAAAGGGAAGGGAGTAAAGAAATAAATTCTAAATTAAATAGTCGGAAAGGGGGGGCTAGAGAAAATGTAATAATATTCATGGCGAATACGATCTGATCGTCTATCATGCTCTCTGCTGTTACATGGTTCGGAGCAAAATCTCATGTTTATCTTGAAAAAACAATTGAACTAAGGATGACAGTTTAAAGAACCATCGGTTTAATTCATTGTCTGACAAGTGTATTTATAACTTTTTAACGTTTATTTTAAATGTTCTTTTCACGGACAAAACTACAATAACCCTTAAAGTTAGAGTAAAGCTCTATTTGATGGTCAGAAATATACCACAACGTGTAGCATCCCGCGTTCCTCATATCGTCTTCGAAATTTTGGGTTCACACTGGATTAAGCTGTCGAAGCTGCGAAGCTGTCCTTTTGGTGTCGTATCATCTGGACTGAATCTCATCGGAACTAAAAAGTATAAATAACAAAAAAAACTTTAGGATAGTTTACGCTTGCAGTATTGATTTAAAATCAATTTTGCAAAAATTAATTAAAATCTGGAATTTGGGGTGCAACATACGTGTTTCAGAATAAAATAATAAATATCAAAAATATCTTAAAATACCAAAATTTTAAAAGGAGAAATTATTTTACGGGGGGAAAATAGTGTATGCAACAATTTAGTTGTTATAAAGTTGAGATAAATCTAATTCTTATATGGGTTCAGGTCGAGGGGGGGAAGGCCATGGCCACAACAATTTCTGGTCCGAGCCACTTGTTCTCATTTTCTCGTCCGAGCCACCTCGGAATCCTCGTCAATTAGCTTATTTTGTGTTAAAAGTTTCCAATTCTTGAAGATAAAACTATTTTTTTTATCTGACCTGCACATAGGGCGTATATAATATGGATGGATCCTAAAGTATTGCAATGATTATATCACGTTGGAATCTTCAAACCCATGAGAATGATGTCGAACTTTATTTATAAGTAAAACTTAAATCTCTTCTGCCTCCGTAATGGCTAACCTTTGTAATATAAAATAAATAGCAAAATATAGTTCGATGTGAGTGGGTGAAGTGGGTACACAATCATAGGAATGTTCTTAGCTATAAAGTAATAATGATTTTAAGTTTAGTGGGTTCACTTTATTAGTTAAAGAAAAGTTTTCTGTTAAAGCTGGGTTTACAAGCTAGTAATATAAAGTAGTTTAATCTCTGTTTAACTGTATAGTGTATTTACTATGTATGTATGTCCATTCTAATTCTAACTTGAGTGGTTTGACTTTTACTGAGAAAATATAGTTTCCAGGTAAGGCTGCGTAACCCAAGCTGCAATGGTAAGCGATTATATCAATACATTGAAGACATACTTTCGATTTCAATTTGAAAATATATCAAAAACATAGAAGTCAATAGAAGCTGTAAATTAAAAAAGCTTCTCTTTGATTACATGTAAAATAGCAATTCGAAAAAAACTTGCAACAGTCAAAACTTAAAAAAAGTCGTCTTTGTTGTCTCAATATAATTGCCTACCACTGTAGTATTTAAAAATGTATGGAACCTGAGTCAAGATCACAAGCTTTATTCCCCAGAACTACGCTAAATTCTTCAGTTAGAAAACTCTGAAAAACTACCTTAATGACTAAATCAAATTTTTTTTCAGTAAAAGAAAACATTGCGTGAGATGGAAATGAAGCTTCAAACTTATTTCTTTCTTTTTCAGATTATTTAATATATAGCCATTTAGAAGCTTAAGTAAATACGAAGATTCACATTAATCTTTCACACCGTTATATTCATTTCTGGTTAACCCTGAATTTGTCAAAAGTTTAACCGTAAAAATTAGAGAATTAATTTTTATCAATTTGGTGGATTTTCATTTACAGAAAATATTTCAGCTGATCCTTGTATTCAATCTAAGATATACTAACCCACTTTATCGTTTTAATGGATAACTATCTGAAACATTATCAAATTAATTTTAGACTAAAAACATTTCCGAAATTTACTACTAAAATCTTTACTTAATGAATTCTATAGAAAATTAGGCTGCAAGATCTCTTCTTAACTTTTCAAATGATAAAACGCAATTTTTCTTACTAGTTTAGGATCTTTGAATAAAACATAACAAAAATTAAAATAAAAAAATGCCTCAATTTTCATTTGATTAACAAATCAATTAAGAAACATCAATATTAATATTATATTTTTTATTATTTAAATATACATATATATTATTAAAACATATGAAGAAAATATGTCATGTTTGTGTGTTCCAAAAACATGGGAATTAATTAAGAGTAAACTAATCTGAAACAAGGTTTACGAAAAAATGACGTGTAAATTTACGTGGTCTAGTTCACACGCAATTTTCATTTTTATTGGAATACCCTATATAGTGTACAGTTTACACTAGACACTGTACAATGTACATAAGACAAAACCATCTATGTAAAGTTTCAATAAGAATCTTCATTTTGCATAACAAAATCACATAGCATCAATTTATTAATATATCTTTCATATAGCATCAATTTATTAAATATCTTGTATCACATCTAAAAATATTTGTGCATTTTTCTTTACGCTAATCTTACAATGGTGACAAGTCACAAGGCAATATTTGGTATTTAAGTTTACTTTGAAGATTAAAAAAAAATGAAAAATGGTAGTTTCAAGGCAATGTAAGTGCTATTTCAAGCGACCCTGATTTACCACAGTACCCTTAATAACGTTGTCTGATAAAGTATGAATTAGATATCAACGTTTATAGTTTTGAATACTAATTATTTTCAAGTATGGTTTGTCAACAAAACTGACTACAGACTTTCTACTGCAAAAAAAAAAAACATATATAATTAGTTAGACACGGTAAGAGTTAAAGAGAGTGGCCGGCAAGGAGTGGTGGTTGAACTGCTTATGTTGTATTGTGGAAAAATTTTTTAGGATTCATTTGAAACATATAAAACGGTTCTACGACGTATATTTACTGAGTTCAAGAGCAAAGTCGACGTTCAAAATCATGAATTTGGATAGGCACGTTTTCAGAATTAGTTTTCTTAAAAATTATTTAATAACGACGACAAAAAATGTAAAAAAGTTCTTCAGTTAACTAATTAGTTGCTACGGAACAGGTTGAGAAAATAAAAATCAACTATTTTCATCAAAAATAAGTAATATTATTCAATTATTAGTTTCTATAAACTCTCATAATTCAAAAAGATTTTCTGCAGATTTGTAGAGATTTGCGAAAAATTCGTAGAAAATAAGAAATTCAATATAGTAATGAAAAAGGAAATAATTTAATCTAACATTGATTTCTGACATATTTCTATTGAGAAATATGTTCCTAACTATCTAAGTAGTTTACTATCCAATCAAATAAAAAAAAACATGAATGTCAGGGAAGTTAGGCTCCATTTCCCAACATTTTTCGTTGTCGTTATAAAGTAATTTTTAAAAACTAATTCTGAAAACGTACCCGCCCAAATTCATGATTTTGAACGTCGACTTTGCGCTAAAACTGAGTAATTATATGCGTAGAAATGTTTTATATGTCTCAAATGAATCCTAAAAAATTTGTCCACAATACTACATATTCAGTTCTACCACAATACATTGCCGGTCAATCCTTTTAAAAAAACGGCAATATGATCCCCATTAAGGATCATATGAAGGTTTCAAGGGTACCGCTGTGAATTGTGCACTGACATAGTTTTATTAAGGGTCACTTGAAATTACGCTTACAGTCCCTTTAACTTACAGCTTCTTAAAATCTGCTTTTTATGTGTCCCGATAAAAAAGAAAAAAAAAGGAAATTTTATTCTTGTAATAGTTTCTAAAAGAAAATAAAAAATTGACTTTAGGCGCTGCAATCTGGATATTTACTGGATAAACCACTCAGAGTCCCGTTTCAGTTTGATCTTGGCTTCAAGTGCTGCCATAAAATTCCGACTCTCTGGGGTCGTCTTATCCACACTCCTATGCTCAACACGATCATTGTAAGGACAAACCTAAACATTTGATATCTGTATAATCAGGGGCGTATAGACTATGGAGGGAGGGGAGATGATTTTGTTTAGGGGGAGGAGGAGCTTCAGCTTCTAAGTACCATTCAAGTGAATTTCTTGCTTATTCTTTTAAATTTTGTAGATTTAGATTTGGACGATGATAAGAATAAATAACAAAAATTGGGAAAATATGAATGGTTGAAAAAATTTTCAGAGTTATTTAACAAATGTTACCTTTAAATGCTCCGAAACTTTCCCACCAGGATTAAATCCCCAGGTAAGCACTGGATCAAAATGACCGCTGAAAAACCATCTCTGCAAAAAATAAGATGAAAATAATATTTTTTTACAATACAGTATGCAACAAATAATTTTCACTTCCCAACCTTCAGATTTAATACCTTGTATGCAACCTCCTAGATTTAATACCTTGTATGCAACCTCCTATGTTTAATATCTTGTATGCAACCTCCCATGTTCAATACCTTTTATGCAACCTCCCAGGTTTAATACCTTGTATGCAACCTCCTATGTTTAATACCTTGTATGCAACCTCCCATGTTTAATACCTTGTATGCAACCTCCCAGGTTTAATACCTTGTATGCAACCTTCCAGGTTTAATACCTTGTATGCAACCTCCCAGGTTTAATACCTTGTATGCAACCTCCCATATGTTTAATACCTTGTATGCAACCTCCCATGTTTAATACCTTGTATGCAACCTCCCAGGTTTAATACCTTGTATGCAACCTTCCAGGTTTAATACCTTGTATGCAACCTCCCAGGTTTAATACCTTGTATGCAACCTCCCAGCCCCTTCTCTCCTGTCCCTCCTCTCTTGTCCTTTCCCACTGGAGGGATACACAGCCTTTTCTATCCAGCAGAGAAGCACACACCTCACGTAGATATCTGAATGATAACAATGATGATAACGATCATTTCGGCCAATCAAAATTATGAAATCGAGAATTTCAGGAATTGCTTGTCAACTTGGATTTCCTATCAAGCCTAAAAATTTGACATGTTTGTACAAAAGAACAACCATTTTTCCTATGCACTAGGAAGTATTGGCACAAATAGACATTTTGTAACAGGAGTAACAGATATCTCAGCAACACAAGCAAATTTGATTTGTGAATCGTGGATGGACATAAAAAAGTCGATTTAAAATTTGGTTAACTGTCCCTTTAAGAAAGGTTTAATACCTGGAAGTCAAGGAGACTTGACAAAGAGTCCAGGAATCCAATTTAAAAAATATTATCTAAAAAAATTTATTTTATTAATGTCAGAGTTGATGAATTCATAATAAAATGAATAAAGCATGAAGTATTTGAGTAATGAAAAAATAATTTTATACACTTCTCTGTTGGTTTGTTCGTTAATTTTCCCTGTACAAAGCAAAAGGACTGAACCGATCTGGCCCAAGTTTATTGTGGGACCTCACCTGATATCGCATAAAAGATGTAAAAACTCTCAGATTTTCCATGAAATCAGGAAAACCAGCGCAACTGTTCAATGTCATGTAAAAATGTAAAAATATACCAAGAATAAGCATTAAAAACAAGGAGAGACACAGAGAAGCGAGATGTTAGCCAGGTACAATATAAAGGAATTAAGGAAAAAAATAAATAATAAAGTATAAAGGAGATCAGAATAAATGACTGATTAAAAATGTGAAAGGTGACCTGTAATATTTCTACAGGGAGTTGGTCCAATGTCTGATCTGTATCCTGACTAGGACGGATTTGCTCCGGAGCAGGTTGGATTCCAAAACTTTCACTAAACTCACTAAACACAACCTTGTTCTCTGGATTCAGACCTTAACAGATATTTAAACTTAAACTACAAAAATGACCCATTTTCAAATAAATTCATAACAAGTTTTTCAATACATAAGAATGACAAGCAAAAAGAAACAGCCAAGGATTTATGTTTTTTGGCTCATTGAATAAAACCCTCCACGGCAAAATTGGATTATTTGTTTAAATATTGCGGGTACATCTCCGCCCACCCCCCATTTTTTTCGATATGTGTGTGGAAAAAATACCACACACATATCATTGTCTAAGGTCTTTACCTGGATACAGTCTAGAGTATGAAAACCCACAGCCATATATAGAAAGAGGACATCTAGCAACCAACCAGTTGTTCAGTCCACCGTGAATATCATTATGCACATTCTGAAATAATTATCATCAACTTTTTAAAAAAAGTTTGTAATGAACCTTAAAAAAAACTTGATTTTATTTTTACAATGCAACCAATCTCGTTGGTAAAAGTTTCAAGGTTACCAATACCATTGTGAATCGATTATCTTAAAGTTTTCTTAAATTTACATTAACTGACTCAGTAAACAGCTTCAGACACGACAAATGAAGAAGATAAATAAGATTAAAATGGAATGTACTCAGTGCTCACCTTACAATGATGTTCCCATTGATCTCTTCTTAGATCCTAAATTCGGAATTCATAATTAAATAAAGTTTTGAAGAGAACTAAAATAAATAAGCTAGGACTTCTTGAGTGTGTAATTCAAATTACTTTCAGAAGTTGTACATCGTCAAGTATTATCAAAGTTTATTAAAAGTTTTGAGTTGCTATCTGAGTGTAATTAAAATTGATTAAACAGTTTTAAGCATTTTTGAAATTACTAAATAAGTGTTTATGTTGGGATTTGGGAGAAAAATCAAGCATTAAAAGATTACATAATGCAAATTGTACAATAAATTGTAGTATGTAGACTGTACAATTAAATCAAGGATAACCTGTCCGCAGATGAAAGTGTACATAGCTCTTGGCTTCTGCTGAAGACGGGTCACAGTCTCCACACGAATATCAAATCGTACAGTCCTAAACAGCACAGTAGTACAGTTCTAAAAAGTAAAGTAGTACAGTCCTAAACAGTATAGTAGTACAGTCCTAAACAGTACAGTAGTACAGTCCTAAACAGTACGGTAGTACAGTCCTAACCAGTACAGTAGTACCGCCCAATACAGTACAGTATTACAGTTAAATATAGTACAGTAGTATAGTCCAATGCAGTACAGTAGTACAGTCAAATACAGTACAGCAGTACAGTTCAATACAGTACAGTAGTACAGTCCAATACAGTACAGTAGTTCAGTCCAATATAGTACAGTAGTACAGTTCTAAACAGTAAGGTAGTACAGTCCTAAACAGTACAGTAGTACAGTCCCAAACAGTACGGTAGTAGACAGTCCTAAACAATACAGTAGTACAGTCAACAATACAGTAGTACAGTCAACAATACAGTAGTATATACTCCTAAGTCCTCTACAATAAACTATACAAAATACAATTCACACTTCTATATTTATTTAAAATATTGTAGCGACTAAATATTTTCTTCCACTGAAAGAGGAAATAAATGCGGGAATAAGAAAGTACAAATCTGCAAACCAGTAGAGGCAAGTTCTTAACCATTTATTGTAGATCTATGTGCTCCATATTTACACAAATATGTAATAAAAATTCTAAGCTATGCTTTAGAGAAGTTTACTTACTTACTTGTTTACTTGGAGTCTTGAATCAAGCGCCCCACTGAAAGATACATCTTTCAGATCTTCCAATCTGGTACATTCATTCATTCATTCATTCAGTTTCATTCTTTTTAATCCTCAGACTGGCGGGGTTTCCACTGTGTGTATTGGCTTTTGAAGGAGCCAACCGATTTGGCGTTTTTTATTTCTTTTGGTAGGTTATTCCATTGTTGAACTACATGATTAGAGAAAAATCTTCTTCTCAGCTCTGATTTTGATAGTTTACTTTTAATGTTCAAGAAATCCACCGAGAGCCGTGTTACTCTCTCTCCTCTGTCTTCTACAAACTCGAACCAAACTCTTCTATCAACTCTATTAATCTCATGTACAATTTTGAAAGTTTGGACCATGTCAAACTGAATCCGCCTGTCCTTCAGACTAAGTATGCGAAGTTCTTTTAACCTGTCTTCGTAATTATTTCTTCGAAGTCCGGAGATCATGGTGACACTTCCTTCCATGTTATTGACGATCCATTGAGAACTACTCTTTGTGTTATAGTATTCTCTGACTACCAAAAATGTGCAATAAATTGGCAAACTCAAATTAGCAAACTTTGATGTGATCGATTATCTTTGCTTAATAGATAAAATCATACTTCGGGTTATTTCCATTATACGGATCTAACCCTTCCTTATACGATCACTTGCACTTCGGTCTATCTCCATCATACGGAGTAAGCCTTTATGCAATTACTTATCTTTGCAACTTGACAACGTTATACTTCGGGTCCATTATACAGGTCAAACCTTTATATAGCTACTTGTCTTTGCAACATTTAACACCCAATGTAATAAGTAAACTCTCATTAGATTATTAACATTTATTTACATTTATTCATAAATTACAATATCAGGATTCAATTCTTTAGTTATACTCAAAACTTCATCAACCTTTTTTTACAATACTTCTTGCATTAAAATACAAGACGGCCTGATTGTTTCTTGCATAGATACCTTATTCATTATTGATTTGGGTTGGGGTTCTCTGCTTTCTTCTTGGTGGGATTTTCTTCCTCCTGTACTTCCTCCCTGTTCTCTCCTGATCTTGTTTTCCTCTTGTGGCTAACAGGCGTGCTGTCAAATTGCGACCCCAACTTCGACCTTGTCTGGGACCCTGTATTTGACCTAGACCCTGAGACTGGCTGTGTACTGTTTCTTGAGATTTCCTGATTTTTGCAAGCCTTTTCTCTCCCTTCATACCCACAACCTTCCACTCCCACAGTAAAAAATCCTCCTCACTCATATCCTTGTTCCTCTTCTCAGCTTCAACCTTTAGTTCATCCTCAACCTTTCTCTATAGTTTTGTGAGGTCCGGAACCACACTGATAAAGTTCTCTGGTTTGTTTGCACAAGTTCTTATTTTATCTAGAACTTCATTCTTCTTTTCCATGTTCCTGAAACCAATCAGCAATGGACAACGGACGTGGTGTGTTGCTTCCACTAGTTACTTTGCCAATCCTAGTGGAGAACTTGATATCTTCCTCTGGTTTGACAATACAATTAATCTCTGATAGTACTTTACTCACAAGTTCATGATCTGCTTGTTAAATTATGCAAGTTTTAAAGAATATTCGGGGTAACCCCGGTATTACCTGTGTAAATCTGTCGGGGGTGGAGGGGGAGGAGGAGGTTTTGTAGATTTTCTAGTTTTCAATGGAATCCTCGGTTCAACTACAATACATTCAGATTATCTGACAATATGTTTCCCCATACCAACCATTTTTCATTCCCCCACCCTTAAAATACAAAGAAATGCCCCCCCCCCCACATGATTCCATAAGTTGTACTTACCACTGGCACCAACAAGTAAGGCAGGAAAGGGTTTTTCAGGTTTTTGTTTCACTGCTTTTCTTTTCCTTTATATCAGAAAATTTGAAAATAAGCCACGTTGACTGACAGAAGATATATAGACGAGACCAGAGAAGAAAAAACCCGTTCATTGCCTTTTCCTTCTTTTAAGTCAACATTATTCAGGGACTTCTTAAATTCTACATGGGTGATAAACTATAGATAACACTTTGAATACGACATATTTTCAGCTAATATTTATAATTTACAAAGAAGTTTCTTACTACAATATTTTTTTACGTAGCATTAACAAATCAGTAATATTTAAATAGATCTATTTCGTTATTTTGACTGGTATCCTTTTAGTTAATCCCGTAGTTTAAAGGTTGGTTATTCTTACTTCATTATTCTGTCTTTTAGAATCCAATCAAACTCTCCTTCTTCTTCAAAATTGGCGCAAATCATTCTGTGCTCAAACGCCTAGGATTATTCATTTTAAAGGTCTTAATAATTCTTGCTTGGGCCTTGGTGTAAACAGGGTTGGAAATTTATAAATTAGAGAGGATTTAAACTAAGTAATTCAATTTCTTTTGAAAATTTTTAATTAATTAAAAGATTAATTCTATGGAGGGGGTGTAAATCCCTTGGGAATGTCTAGTAATAAAATGTTACAACCGGTAATTGAATAATCCACTACTTGCTCCCTCCTCTCCCTCCCTCCCCCAGTTTCTGAATTTTCAAATGATGTAAATATGAGAAACCCAAAAATGTGTTCACAATCCTTTCCGATTTCCCCCCCCCCCTTTACAAAATCTCAAGTTGCGCCTGTATCTATGTATTATACCTTACAGTGATGAAGTCTAGCGCCGCACTCAAAAGGGCAGTCCACTACGGAGCAGGAATATGTATCGGAAGTATCTCCCTGGAAATCAGGCTTCCTACGTAATAGGTTTATTCAAATCAAGTCACGAAATAAAGGGATTGCTTAAACGGGTTGTAAAAGCAATTTCAACTAACCCTACTTTTTATGAGGTACCAATTCACAATGTTACCCATACATCGTTTATCCGATTAATACTGTGGAAGATATCGACGTTTTTCTACAGTTGATTATATCAATACAATGAAGACGACCTTTTTAAAAGTTTTGATTTTTAATAAGCTTTTTTCGAATTACATTTTTTCTGCTATGGAAAAGGTCTAGTGTAACGTTTTGATTATGAATCGGGATTGCGGCTCTTTAAATGGAGGATCAGTGATCACAATTATGTTAATATTCCCTTTAAATATGACAAAGAAACGTTTACTTTCATCCTACCTAACACAGTTTCTATCAACACAGTATGCGCAGTGATTATGTATGTTTCCTTTCATCATCTCATCGTACTCCCAATACTTCTTAGGAACAGGTTGACCCGTTCTTAGTATAGCCTGATACAAACCAATCAGAAAAAGGGACTTTACATAGATTTCAAATTAAAGCAGAAGAAAAAATTCCTTTTTGCTGCATGACAACTGATTGTACAGGGTGTCCCAATAAACATGGGAATTCAGTAACGAATTCGATATCGTCTTTTTATTAAATAATTCTTTGATTTATTATAGTGATACCTACTGAGAAAGCTGTAATCTGTAAGAGTTTCGTCTGCTATTTTCACATTTTGTTTGTGTATGTTTTGACTGCATACGGTTGTACTTAATAAAACAAGAAAATTGCAGTATACAAACAGAGTAAACTTGTCCGTCTTTACTGTTCATCTTGCGGAGACATTATAGACACATCTTTACAGTCTTTTCCCCTTTTCAAAAAATAAATTCTAGCAGACATAATAATATTATGGCTTTTGAAATTAGGTATTACAATGCTAATTTATAACAAAGACGATATCGAGTTCGTCACTGAATTCCCATGTTTTTTGGGACACCCTGTATGTCCGATGTACTACAAAATTTAGTTCATAAAAAATCTCAAATAAGGAGTAAAAGGTTAGTATTTTATTTACTACTTTTTTTTAATCTGTGCGCCAATCAAATTAAATTTTAACAAAAAAATAAATTGGTTTTAAAGGATTCTCGTAGAAAATACATTCTATTTGAAAAGACTAAAAAAAACTTCAGCATGTTTTTTTTAAATATTTGTTTTAATTGAATACGGTTTGTTTCCTTCTCTACATCTTCTTGCCATCGTCGTTGTTGGGTTTCCTTAAACATAAATTCAATTAAAGATAAATGGTATTTAAATAGAGAAAATACACTCGAAAGTACAGGGAATGGGGGGGGGGGGGGCGCCCTCCACAAGCTCTTCCCGGGAACTTGTCTTAATGGGAAAAAACTAGAACGAAGGAAAATTGTGAAAATAACATTATTTATGTCCCAAAAAGACGATTATATGTTACACAATACCGTTGTGAATCATTGCTGACACGCTTAATTTCAAATTTTCTCATAAAACTTCGCTGACAATCCCTTTAACTAAAAAGTGTCTTACCTGTTGTTTAAGGAAAAGTTTGGCAATACCATACTGGGGGCCAACAGCGGTATCATCAGAGACTTCAAGTTTAACAATATCCTTTAAAGTTGTTGCAGTTCTATCCTGAACATATAATCAGAGTTGATAGATCTGAGGATACAGCTTTGTCACATTGACTAAACATTAAGGAAACATGGGGGTAATCCACCAACAATAATAAGAACCAGAGCTGAAAACTTTAATTAATGCCGTGGACAATTTTGATTTCTGATTAATCAGCTCTTTTCCCCTCTTTTTGGATATCCCTACTGGATTCCAACCTCACAGAGTTTTCGCATTAAATGGCGCGCAAAATTTTAACTTTCCCGGCTTCTGATAGGCTGTTCGGGATTCTGCATATATGATTTGACCTCGATATCAACAATTTTAAAGTTTTTAGCTCAGAGAGAACAGACTGAGCGCGTCATTAACAGATTAAAATACGTAAGTTTCAACCTCTTTAAGCATCTGACCTATACACACTGTGCTAAAATTTTAAATAAAACTATCGTCAGAATAATGAGAACACATTTAAACTTTAAAATCTATAATCATTTTAATATCTTGAACAGTCTTCGGTCGTTTTCATAATTTCATAAATAACGACAGGGGTTTCTTATAATAGTGTTGCCATGATGTATCTTAGAACTATGATTAATTCTAAACATGCTGATTAAGTCTTGTTCAACGGAAGAGCTGTCCAATGAAACTAATGTTTAGTCTGAATGAACACTAACCTGACAAGTGCGTTTCATAAAAAATGTAGGGAACGGTTAGTCTTGTTATACTGGCAAGTTGTCCAACGACACTAAATTTAGTCTGGATGAACACTGACCTGACGAGTGGATTTCCTGGTTGAATGTTGAGGAAGAGGAAGTGCAGGATGGCGTCTTGTTAAATTATTCCTCAAAGCTAGTTTAGTTTTCCTAAATAGAATGATTCTATATATTCAAGATAGAAAACGTCGATTTTTAGCACTTACTTTCTGGATTTTTTTAAAGAATGTTTGCTTTGAGTCGCTTTTTCAAAATTTTAAAAAGTTATTGAATTCTGAATAATAACTACAATAAAAACAAATCTTTATCAATCAAAAAGTAAATCAGAAATACACACAAGTTTAAAATTATATTTCATATGTTTTCAGTCATAACTCATCTTATTGCATTTTGAGGAGCTATTGAGAAGAAGCAAGAAAGTTTTTAATTTGTAATGAACACCGGGATAAATTTGTCATACTTGTGCGTACAATCAAAACTTGAGGAGATACGAGGGCACTATAGGTTGTACCAGTAATATCGCACGAATATTGCCTTCTTGTTCTGTCTTATTAACAGAGAAATATACATTTGGAAGTATATAGAGGAGGAAAATGATTTAAAGTAATCCTAATTAGGATTAAACTCAATTTATCAAACCTTAAAATATATAATAATGTTTTCTGACAAATTAACCAATTTTCCAGGGAACTTTAACAACTCTCCACCTAGCCTTTCATCTCTTAAATTTTAATATAGTTTTTAACTTATCTGCTGCATGGTGTATAGATACCTGGGAACTTAAACAATTCTCCACCTAGTTTTTGATCTATTAAATTTTAATCTAGTTTTTAACTTATCTGCTGCATGGTGTATAGATACCTGGGAATTTTAACAACTCTCCACCTAGTCTTTGATCTATTAAATTTTAATCTAGTTTTTAACTTATCTGCTGCATGGTGTATAGATACCTGGGAACTTTAAACAACTCTCCAGCTAGTCTTTGATCTCTTAAAGCTAGTTCAAGGTCAAGATCTCCTCTGAACAAAATTATTAAAATGCTCTACATATTATAAAAAGAGGGGGGTGCACCCCCCGGCCCCTGCATATTGTAAAACGAGAATTCACCGTGACAAAACAGTACAAAAAATTTTTTCTCGCAAAAGTTCTAAAATGGGGGGGGGCTGAATCGTCTAAAAGAGGGGGGTGCACCCCCTCCCCCTACAGATTGTAAAACGAGAATTCAGAGTGAAAAAACAGGGCGAACATTTTTACCTCGCCAAAATTCTAAAATTCTGAATGTTTTTAATCGTTTAAATTGTTCACCTGGCAGCTTGAGGGTTCTTTAACCGGAAAGGAATAGTCTTAAATCTCTCTTTACAGAATAATGGCCACCTGTGCAAAATATACAATATCAGACATGAAAATATTGTAATTTTTCATTAAATACAAAATAGTGTTCGCCAAAATATCATGAATTTTAAGAACATTTAGTTTACACAAATCAAATGGATTTTGTCTAAGAGCTTCAAAAGTTGTTATCAAGAGAAACGATTTAAAAAAATTCATCGCGATGTTAAGTGGTGTAAGTATTCAAGTATATTTTGAGAACCACTGTAACAAGAATATTAAATTTAATTGAAATAAAGACGTTCATTAAATCACGCCTTTCTGAGGTCAACACATGAAGGTTGTAAATCCCTGAATCAACAGAGGTTCATTGTTCACATCTTTTATCGTCAGAAGGATTGAATAAATGCCTCTTGGATATTCCATGCAAAGGCAATGATAACTACATTAGGAATTAAGAACAAATTCATTAAAATTACAAAATTGTCATAAATACATAAAGTTATATTTCACACACAAATTTAGACATCTGAAAAAATAACAACGGATTTTTTATGAACATCGAACGAATTATTTCTGTTTAAATCAAGTTAAACTTTACATTTTGTCCAAATTGACAAAAAACTTTTCGCAGGAATAAATGTTTGAGGACAAATAAAATATAATTAATCTAATGATAGTTAAGATATGAGCTAGGAACTTTTGAATAGTGGATAGCGAGATTAAAGCTTGATCTCTTCTTTTTCTTAATCTCCAGATTAATTAACCGATCGGGATTAAGAATATCTCATTCTAAAGTTCCCAGCTATGATCACATAAAAACAGATGAGTACAATGTACAACTACATATACTTGTGTACAGCCGTATCATATGTAAAGTATATATAGTATACAGCTATACAGTCAACCACCATATATACAGGTGTACTGTTCCTGACCTGTTCCATTCTTGAGTGCAAGCAATAATATATATAGTATACAGCTGTACAGTCAACCACCATATATACAGCTGTAATGTTCCTGACCTGTTCCATTCTTGAGTGCAAGCAATAATATATATAGTATACAGCTGTACAGTCAACCACCATATATACAGCTGTACTGTTCCTGACCTGTTCCATTCTTGAGTGCAAGCAATAATATTTGCCGGGCAGGTAGGCAGGTGGGAGGGAACCTATAACCATTTTTCAAATGAATAATAAATTAATAAATTTTACATTAAACAAACAAATTCAGACTTATCTTTGTCAACTAAAATTTAATAATTTATTGACATTAATCAATATCATGCTGGCATGTCTGCATGTCTAGGCAAAAAAAAAACAATTTTTTTAACCATCGAAACAATATCAAACTTTTAAAAATGTATGTACTACTAACGATAGGATAATTATAATAATTTAATCATGATAACAATAACAATAAGAATAACAAAATTAAAGAAAATAACAATAACACAAACAACAATCATAATCTTATTACGACTTCTTCTACGATATGTTAAGAGTTTAAATGGTTTTGATTTATTAAAGGAAAATCCTAATTAAATAGTGAATTCAAATTAAGTATACATTCCAAGTTTCAAACCTTACCTTCTGACGTTGTAAAGATGCTGAGCAACCATATTGAGTGTTAGGACAGGGAATATACTCCTTATAACAGAGCAGTAAATGTTCAGTTTCCTAAACATATTCAGTGTTATTGTTCAGTTTCCTAAATATATTAAGTGTTAATGTTCAGTTTCTGAAACATATTCATATTTAGTGTTATTGTTTAGTTTTCTAAACATATTTAGTGTTATTGTTCAGTTTTCTAAACATATTCAGTGTTATTGTTCAGTTTTCTAAACATATTTAGTGTTATTGTTCAGTTTTCTAAACATATTCAGTGTTATTGGTTAGTTTTCTAAACATATTTAGTGTTATTGTTCAGTTTCCTAAACATATTAAGTGTTATTGTTCAGTTTTCTAAACATATTCATAGTATTATAGGTTAGGTTTCTAAACATATTTAGTGTTATTGTTTAGTTTTCTAAACATATTTAGTAATATTGTTCAGCTTCATAAACATATCTAGTGCTATTAATTAGTTTTCTAATCATATTTAGTGTTATTGTTTAGTTTTCTAAACATAATTAGTGTTATTGTTCAGTTTTATAAACATATTTAGTGTTATTGTTTAGTTTTCTAAACATATTTAGTGTTATTGTTTAATTTTCTAAACATATTTAGTGTTATTAATTAGTTTTCTAAACATATTTAGTGTTATTGTTCAGTTTTCTAATCATATTTAGTGTTATTGTTTAGTTTTCTAAACATATTTAGTGTTATTGTTCAGTTTTCTAAACTTATATAGTGTTATTGTTCAGTTTTCTAAACATATTTAGTGTTATTGTTTAGTTTTCTAAACATATTTAATGTAATTAATTAGTTTTCTAAACATATTTAGTGTTATTGTTCAGTTTTCTAAACATATTTAGTGTTATTGTTTAGTTTTCTAAACATATTTAGTGTTATTGTTCAGTTTTCTAAACATATTTAGTGTTACTAGAAATTCAAGGCGCTTTGTGCCCTTCTTTCTAGGCTTTTAGGGCGCTTCGCGCCCATCTTCTATTTAAATTGTGAACATGTTCTTTTTGTTTACATTTAAAAACAACGCAGAACAAATTTTTGCGAATTTTTATCATTCATAAACCTTCCCTGTGGTCACGTGATGTCCCACACAAAATTTGGGCCCGATCGGTTCAGCCGTTTTGACGTTTATTGGATACAAACAGACAGACATCCAGATAAAAAAACAGACAAGCCAAATTTATGTATAGATTGTTCAGTTTTTTAAACATATTTAGTGTTATTGTTTAGTTTTCTAAACATATTTAGTGTTATTGTTCAGTTTCTTAAACATATTTAGTAATATTGTTCATTTTTCTAAACATATTTAGTGTTATTGTTTAGTTTTCTAAACATATTGAGTGTTAATATCAGTTTCCTAAACATTTTGAGTGTAAATATTCAGTTTCCTAACCAATTTTTCTTTTCAATGAACTGTTCAAGATATTTGAAGGGGGTAATGAACCATACTGAAAATATATTATTTCTCTAATAAGATTCTTTAATATCGAGAAATAACAGCTGACCAATTTCCAGATAAATCTTTATTTTTTCCAAGAAAAGATAGAGGTATTTTATGGGATATGTTGTGAATTGCAATTGTCACTTTTTAAATTGGGACATCATTTAAAATAACGTTTACAATCCCCCTCACTAGATATTTCCTACCTTGCAAAGATGGAAGCGAGCTGGGCAATTGTTCCTGCAGGAGATAATTTTACAGGCGTCTAGATCTCCTTTACACTTGTTGGTGTTAAAGCATCTAAACAAAGACAAGTCTTGAGGCTACGCACTAGTATTATTAATTACGCGTTTTATTTTTTAAGTGCTCGTATCATTAATTAGCCTATTACGCGTATTTAAAACGGCAACCAAACCAACCTAAGGTCTCCCTCCTCTTAAATACATCTTTTATTACCAATTGATGTTTCTAGTTTCCTTGCTATATTAACTAAATATCTAACAACTATGTTTTAGTTTTAATTAATTTTCTTTTAAATCTTTAAACCCTTTTCTTGTCATTAAAATTGTATATCTATGCACACGATTCTATATTATTATTACATACAGGATTAACCATAAAGCATGAGACTGAAGAGAGGACTTGAAACTCTTGACATATGACGATCACAAGTTTATATTAAGTTTTTGGTCGTGAATGTAGGCTTTAAATGGCGTATTTAATGATTTGGCAAAGAAATAAAGAAGTTTATAGTTGCGGGAGTCATGAATGTAAGGATTCAGACTGGATCAATTCCGTACAGTCGTCTCTTTCTTGGTGGGTAACCCTGTATATTCCCAACCTGTAGCAATGTTTGTGAAGATCTCCTAGTTCTGAATCACTCACAACCCATGGAAACACCATTCTTTAAGATCTAGAACAATAGGGAATATGGTCTCGAAATTATTAACAATAATATAGCCACACATTTTAGAGCGTCGATGCAATAGCGAAAGAAATACATAAATAATCTTAATAATTTCATGAAAGATCATTTATGATCATTATTATATATATACGTCCTTAAACCAAATGATATATGTCTAGTCCACTGCGATTTAATGGTCTCACGCTCTCAAGCAAAAATCGTTGAGAATTTTGCCAATTACTTCTAAAAAACCAAATCTAACAAGAAGTGCTTTACATTGCTAAAATGTACATGTAAAGGGCTACAGAAAAGCATAAGTGAGTTAGAGCGGTAAAATCAAAGCTCAGGGCGTTGCGACACTTCAAAGTCAGCCCTGTCTTAAAAATTGATGAGACTGTTTATAAGGAGGCTGAATCTATGTGAGTCAACTTAAAGGGACTGGCAAGTGTCAATGTCAGTGTCAGATTCACAACGGTGCCTTTAAACACGTTAGCTGTCTTAGAAGAATAATATATCTTGATTTTGAATTTTAAAAACTGATTGTTTTCACTTGTGATATCTCTACAAAAGTGACTTGCGCATTTCTTGCTTCAGAAGCAATGGAGGAATTGTCAGAATCGAACACTTGTCAAACTTAATAACTCCCTGTTCATTAAGGATTAAGTTTATATCATTTAATTTTATCTAACTGATTTTTTGCTAATTATTTCAAAAACCTCAAATTGAATTCTCTTCACTCCTAAAATTATTGAGATAATTTTTTTCATAAAATATATAAAAAAAGCTTTTTTCGTTGACTGAAAGATTTCAAACCAGAGAAAATGAGGAAAATGTTTCTCGGACGAAGAAATGATACAAAATGCGTGAATCATTGACACTTTTTTATAAAAGGGTCTCAGAGGTCACATAAACGATATTGACCAGTCCTCTGCAGCTTAGTGTTAGTCAGCTAAGACATTAACATATAATATATTTATATATATGTAGTGTCGTAAACTGTACACCCGGAGAATATATAATATATATTTATATATATATATGTAGTGTCGTAAACTGTACACCCGGAGAATATATAATGTATATATATATATATATGTAGTGTCGTAAACTGTACACCCGGAGAATATATAAGAACTGAATTGTATTTTGGAATTCAGCCAACTAACGTTTACGAAATTCTCACTTTTTTCGACTTAAACTTTCTTTCTTTTTTGCTTAAGGTCTTAAATGCAATCACGGTCGTTTTTCGTCTTGTGGTGCGGACCCCATACATTTGTGTACATATTACGGCAAACTAAATAGTAAAAATATAAAATTCAATAAATAAGAAGTCCAATTTACTTCCAACATATCTTGGAAAACGAATTCAAACTTTTCCATTTCAATACGTTGTGTATCTTGTGTTTACAAAAAATGTGCTTTTCTGGGACATGAGCAGCCCCTTTAAAGGGACTGTCTACCTAATTTTAAGTGCCCCCCCCCCTCTCCCCTACATTTATAGAATGAAATGTCGGATTCCTAACGGTAACTCATGTCTTCTCAAGGCTGTGAGATAAATTTCTTCTTCTGATAATAAATATTTTTAGTTGTGGTTCCTACATAAACGTGACATGCCCGAATTCAACATGTTTTAAATGATCATGTCTTCATCATTATTAATGAGGTTAAGATTTCAAGATAGCCAGGTAACCAAGGTAACCATTGTAATCGAACTTTCCACTCCGTCCCTTTAAATAACGTATACAGTCCCTTTAAATAGTTATTACCTTTAATCTAGTGAAGTATGGCATGCTTCGGGTTTCAACATTTTAGAAAATTACAAAGTATTATCTACATAACAAATCTGAAATTAAAGAAAATATGGTTTATTTTTTACGTTAAAGATTAAATGCGTACAAAAGTTTTTTAAGAAGACATTTTTCTTGTGACATACTCATCTAAATAGAAAGTCATCCAGCTAACTCTTTCCACAAAGATGAGTAACTCATAAAGCTAAAACTCTAAAACTCTGATCGGTGCTACTGAAACTGAGCTTTTTTTTTAACTCGGAAAGGATCAAACTTTTGGGAGTATTTCTTTTTTTAAATGAGTTATGGAAGTTAAGAAGCTATATCTCTCTTAAATGAAAAGGCCATGTCTTTCCAGAAAATTTCAAATTTCAAGGAGTCATTTCTTTCTAAAGTTTGAGGAGCGAGAGTTTATTTAGCGAGTTTCCTAATTAATAGTGCAAATACGTTTAAGAGTTTATTTCTCAAGAGCTACATCTTTTAAGAGAGTTTAAAACCTTGAGGTAATACAAACATTTTTCCAACGATTATTTATGAAGAACATCTTTCCAGAGAATTTTACAACTCCTGGAGCTATATATTTTCATAAATTATAGTGTTACATGTTATTATAGCATATAAAGCTACATCTTTCCAGATAGCTCTATAACTCACTGACACTCATTTAACGCTATCTCTGCTGGAGTACTTGAAAACCAGGATATGCTGGGGGGGGGGGGGGGNACATTGAGGTAATACAAACATTTTTCCAACGATTATCGTAATTTATGAAGAACACTTTCCAGAGAATTTTACAACTCCTGGAGCTATATATTTTCATAAATTATAGAGTTACATGTTATTATAGCATATAAAGCTACAGCTTTCCAGAGAGCTCTATAACTCACTGATTCTCATTTAAGGAGCTTGAGTTTTAGGTTTTGGCATTTTCTGTAGTATCCCGGCCACCTCCTTCTTCTCATCATAGTTCTTCCACAATTCGTACAGGTTCAACAGGTGCCTGAACATGTTCATTAATTCAATAACATGCTTAAAGAGACAGCCGACGAAATTTAACGTGGCCTTTTATTGATATTTGCCTTATCGACAATGTAACACTTAAAACCTCTATCTGATTTGAGAAGTAACAAGGAAGATATTTTTATTTTTCTAAATTGAAAAAGGAAATAAATTTAGCTTGTCTCTAAATCTAGTGCATAAATCTGCATATCAGTTTGATAAAGTAATCGAACTGAAAATCATAGTTCTCTAGCTAAGGAACCGTTGTGAGTCGGACATGCAACTCTTTTGAAATTAAGGGTCCCTTAAAATTTAAGTCCCTTCCAGTAAAGCTTAAGTTTTTATCCGTTTAGATAATACTAGCTGAAGGCGTTTCCTCAGGGAAAAAAAAATTTGAAAACAAAATTTCGAATTGTTTTAGCCTTAACACCCCCTGGCCTGCACCAATGAGTGTCCACAAAAAATGTCAGCCATTCGGTCCAGCCATTATGGCCAACATATATATAAATGTATTGTTTTATTATATAGAAAACCTCATTCTCTAAAATAAGTGTTGAGTAATATCAAATAGATTATCAAGTACAATAGGTGGCAACAGAGAAATGGACCAACTGTAAGCGACGTCACAAATTAACTAAATCTAATGACAAAAAAAAAACAAGATAAAATACTTCTTACGTTTATTTAGTGCAGCATTAATTTATCTAGTTTCCAAACTGAATATGTTAAATAAAAATTCCCAGGAATTAAGAATCAGCATTTTCAGAATTAATTTAATGTTTTTGCAATATTGTTTTACTACCTGTAAAAAGGACAAAAATGTACTTTTAACAATTATCTTAATAATCTTAGTATTAAACGATATGAACAAAAAAGTACTTTTATATTATTCATTATTTAAATATAGTAAATAGCATTGCTTAGGATGCAGGGGGCAAAATATCAATCAAAAACTGCGAAAAAAAAACTTTTTAATCTTGAAATTCAAATCTAAACTGTTAAAACGATAGATTATCAAAACTTTTCTTATTGCTGTATGGTTCATCAGCGGCGAAAGAAGAAAATTATTTGAAAATTTTTCTTTTGTTCAAAAAATCTGAAAATTCGCATGACCTGGATCCGGATCCGGATCCATTTTTATTTCAGTGCGGATCCAGATCCGGATCCGCATCAAAATTAAATAGATCCTAAGCACTGGTAGATAGATAAAGGAAATGTGAAATAAGTTGAATTTTTATAAAAATAGATTAATTAATCACGAAATTTATAAAGAAAATATTAATAAAATCAGAAGAAGTTTAGATCAGTGAAAGAATGGATATGAGAGAACAAAATTTAGCTGCATGAATGAATATATGAATAAAAGAATGAATAAAAAAATGAATAAGTGAATTTATGATGGAAAAGATTAATGACTTAAAGGATGAATGAGTTAAAGGATGAATGAGTTAAGGGATGAATGAGTTAATGGATGAATGAATTAATAAAATGATGAGTAAAGAGATGGATGAGTTAATGGATAAATGAATAAATAAATGAATCAGTTAATGGTTAAATAAATGAATAACTAAATGAGTTAAAATATGGATGAATGAGAGTATAAATGAATGAATAACCTGGTGATCTCTTGTATTTTATCCATATCCACACTAAGCTCACTAAACCAGGAGCGAAGATCTTTTCCTAAATTTTAAAATTGTTTAATGATAAGGAGAGATGAGAGATCAGGTAATTCAAACTTACCCAAATGCCAAATTGAATAAAATTCAAACTATTAATGAGAGCGTTCAAATTTTGACTAGATCGTCATAAAGTTTGCTTGTATTTATAGCGTCTATTAGGATAAAATGGTTGAAAAGGCTTAATGCTAAGAGCTGAGATTCAATGTAAATTCGGAGATGTACTAAATTCTAAACTAGGTAGGTATGGAATACTAACCGTGTAGTATGAAGATGTACTATAGGATAAACTAGAGAGATATGGAATACTAACCGTGTAGTACGTAGATGTACTATAGGATAAACTAGGTAGGTATGGAATACAGGATAAACTAGGGAGATATGTACTACAGGATAAGATAAACTAGGGAGATATGGAATACTAACCGTGTAATACTGATGCCATATGTAGACAGGCAAGAGAGATCTGGAATGGAGGATAGAGAAGACAAACATCAGTTCTAAAGGAATCATTGACAAATCTCCAGGCAACAGGGAGCAGGGTATCTTCAAGACCCTGCCCTAGATCCTGAATATTAATATTATTATTATTAGTATTATCATTCAATTCTAGATCCAAGGTTCGAGATCTAACATCCAAGATCCGAGGTTCAAGGTTCAGTATTCAAGGTTAAAGGTTTAAGGTTTAAGTTAAGGTTTAGGTTAAGTTTTAAGGTAAGGTTTAAGGTAAGGTTTAAGTTAAGGTTTAAGTTAAGGTTTAATTTAAGGTTTAAGTTAAGGTTTAAGTTAAGGTTTAAGTTAAGGTTTAAGTTAAGGTTTAAGTTAAGGTTTAAGTTAAAGTTTAAGTTAAGATTTAAGTTAAGGCTTAAGTTAAGGTTTAGGTTAAGGTTTAAGTTAAGGTTTAAGTTAAGGTTTAAGTTAAGGTTCAAGGGATAGGAACAACATCTGCACAGATACCATATGAATGGATCAATTCTAGACGAGACAGTGAGAGATAGGGATATCGGTTTAATTATTTCAAATAAACCTAAACCTGCCCAACAATGTCTAGAAGAAGCCAGGAGAGCTTGAACAGTTTTAACCCAAATATCGAGAGCTTTTCTGTGTAGAAATAAAAATATCTTTATTCAACTATATGAACAGTTCGTCAGATGCCATCTTCAATTTGCCGTCCCCTCCTGGTCACCCCGGTTAATTATAGATAAAAAGATCTTTATTCAACTATATAAACAGTTCGTTAGGTGCCATCTTGAATTTGCCGTCCCCTCCTGGTCAACTTGGTTAATTGGAGATATTGAAGTTTTAGAACGTAGTCAAAAGAGAGCAGTAAATCTAATGGTAGGACTAGTGGGACAAACTTATGAAGAAAAACTAACGGAACTTGGTTTAAGTACCATGAAAGACAGGCGAATCCAGCTCGATTTGATTCAAACTTTTAAACTCCTCAAAGGATTGACAAGGTTGACCCTGCTACATGGTTCAATACTGTTGGAGAAAGTGTTATCTCGGTTAACAAGGAATACTGCCTATGAGAGCAATCTTTTATCAAACCGATCAAATACAGATCAACGGAAAAACTTCTTTACAAATAGAGTTCCCGGTTTGGAATGCACTGCCGACGGAACTTCAAACTCAAGAAATGTCAAGATATTTAAGACAGGACTCGAGAAAATAACTTTCTAAATCTGTGTCAGGAAACAGTGTAAGGAAGGATGATACGTTCCAGGATGACTCTGAACTAACCACTGTTCAGATTAGAAACATCAAGATATTTGCCTTACGGACCCTGGGGTTTTTTGCAAATTATTCTTCAAGTATTCCAAGGTTGAAGGTTGAAGGGGTTGAAGGGGTTGAAGGGGTTGAAGGGGTTGAAGGTTCAAGGTTCAAGGTTCAAGGTTCAAGGTTCAAGGATCCAGGTTCAATGTTCCAGGTTCAAGTAGTACCTGGCAGAACTGAACGAGAGGTCGGTAGGGTTGAAAGATGACCAGACAACAATCCATATTCTCTAGTAGGAAGAATTCACACTCCAGGATCATATGGGACCTGGAAGAATTTAAGATGTTAACAAAAATTTTGACAAGTAAATTACGAGTAACCCAAGCTATTTCAACATAGAAAAATACGTTTAAAATAAAAATCTACTTGCAGCAAAAAGAAAATGGCTTAATTTAGATCAGTTTCTTGTACATTCGAAAATTTCCAGGTGGTTTTAAATAAGAATTATAGACGTAGTGAAACCTCAATTGTTATTGTTCACCTCGGATTAGAGTGGTAATTTTTGTTAGATTTGAACTGCTTCCAAATTACTTTTTATGATTATTTGTTATTTTTATCGAAAGCAGCCCAGTTAAACTTAAGCGACATATACTAATTAAAGTTTACAATAAGTCAGTCGACTCACACTCCTCAAAATGTGAGGCTACGCCAAACTATTTAATCACATATTCCCACCTGTATGGGAACTCTATCCCTGGGAACGCATAGTTAAGATGGTTCTTGATGATGGCAGAGCAGGTGTTGATCAACTTCGTGTTGGAGATTACGCCAAACTCCTCGATCTAAAAAAGTTCAATTTTTTCTTTTGTGAAATTTTTTAAGGCTGATTCCTTTCCAGCTTTATCTTAAGTAAAAATCCCTTAGAAAGAATCATTAAAAATTTATGCTGATAACATGATGTGAAAGACAGTTAATAGAATTAATTTTTAAAGATCGTACCTAAACCTAATGCTATGAAAAAGCATAAATAAAAAATAACTTATTTCTAAAAAAATCATATCAAAATAATGGCAGCAATTCAAATAATTATTTTCTGGAAAAATTTGTCTCTAAGACTAATCTATCGTTCAAGCTAGAATATATATTGGTAATCTATCGTTCAAGCTAGAATATATATTGGACCTAATTTTCATTTAGAGTCTAGTCTATTGAAAAACCACACTTTCGACAAACCTTACCTAGTGGGGTATAATTTTCAACGCTACAGTTGTGACCACGGGAGACTTGGACTTTGAGCTTTTAAATCGTGGCTATAGCGGTTAGAGTTACCTTACTAGCGAGGAAGACGCAGGTCGGCGCCATCAGCAATGGATCGACAGTATTGAGTGAGTTCAACGAGTAGAACCTCTTGAAAAACACAGTTGCGCTGGCTATAACCTGCTGACGTAACTTCAGCTGTTCACCCAACATCTAAATGAATAGAGTAAGTGCTGACCAACCTTAGACAGTAAGTGAAATGATGATATTGTTATAATTTTAAGCCTCGCCAATAGCTAAAAATTAAATAGCTCGAAATATGTGTCTTATCTTCAAATACCCAAGAAATCTACCTGGATGAAGCTGGCGTAGAAGATGAAAATCTTCTGGTATTCCTCCTCTGTAAGAACAGAAAGGTCCGCTGCACGCTCCCTCGCCAAGTCAGCCCGGTCCAATATCCACTGCGCGCAGTGAGAACTTTCCCAGAAGTTTCCCGCCATTTTTTGCACGTTGTTTCACTTATTTGTTTGCTTAGTCTTTAATCTAATTAGTCTTTAGGGTTTAACAGATAAACTACTGCGTAGTTTAACGTGTGTTTTTCCTAGCCAGATTGAACTGCTCTAAATACTGTTGAACTGTGTCAACTGGTGAGAATGCTTCAGTTGCTTTGCTCTTGATATATGCTGGAGGGACTACCGATACACAGCTCCCCAGAAAACCCTAATGGTTGAAAATTGTTAAAAATTTAATTGGTAACATAATGTTGAATCTTTTTTATATATCAGAATTATAATTTCTTGTGATCTGTATCGGTGCACACAATATGCACAGTTCGTTGTACAGAGTACACAGTTCATTGTGCAGAGTACAATGTTCACTATAAATGTGTACAATGTTAACTGTTAACTGTACATTAAAGTTTTCAATTACACACTTCAATATTAATATTTTGATTTATTTTTAAAGTTCCTGCATAAGTTGACCTGCATAAACTCAGCTAAGAGTCCCCAGCAGGTTCCAGGTATAATCCCAGGTAGATAATCCACTTCCACTAGGATACCCTTTACAGTTCCACCAATAGTCACGCTGCCAAGCTTCACTAGGAAATCCTTGATCTCAAACCTCGGGCCTAATATCAAAATAATCAATAGAAATCTCATATTCACTTTCTTTATGGGTAATATAACGCTTAAACGAACAAACAAGTCAGGGCTGAAATAAATTCTTTTAACTTTACATAAAAAGTAAACTATCCAATACAGAGTTGAGAAGAAGAATTTTCTCTAATCGTGTAGTCAAACAATGGAACGATTTGTCAAAAGAAATAAAAAATGCCAAATCGGTTTGCTCCTTTTAAAGCCAATACACACAGTGGAAACTCCGCTGGTCTGAGGATTTAAAAGAAGGAAACTGAATGAAAGGATGAATATAACAGACTGGAAGATCTGAAAGATGTATCTACAATGTCCCTATCAGTGGGGCGCTTGATTCAAGACTTTAAGTAAAACAAGTAAGTCTTTTCGTTACTTGTTTGAGAAGAAAAAATATCGAAATAATTAATAAAAAAAACCTTTTTCTTTTTTCTGATCATAATATTGACTTCAAGAATAAATTAAGTTGAGAGAAACCTATAATTTTAAAATTCTTTAAAATTGGTTTTAAATAATCTAACAGTTACCTTTTGATTCAATTTTAATCTTCTTAGAGTAGTACTGGTTCCTGGGACAACAGATTATTCAATTAATATTTCATACTTTATTATTACACACTACATAGTTCGTTGAAAAGCCTACTACAATGCTGTGGTATATAAAAATATTGCATATAATATGGTTGCAAAAAGCTGTGCCACACTGTTATGGACTTGTTAAATCAGTAAAAAATAATGTGTTAAAATTTAGTATCGATAATTCGATATAATAAAGTGTTTTGAAAGAAAAAAAGTTCTCCCTTGTAATTCATAAATGGAGCTGTTTAAAAACGCAGAAAATTTAATAAAAAAAGGGAAAAAGTGATAGTTTTAAAATATTGACTCACCCTGTACTGAGTTTAAGCATAAGCAGGTCGAAGAGTGAGTCGGTGGTGATGCTCACGGTCTTATTCTGGGACTCGATCACGGAGAACACGGTGGCAGGGTACTCACTATAATTAACATTAGTATGACAGCTGAGCTGGAAAACTGTTAAATTGGTAGAATGTAACAAGTCAATTTTAAATCTGAACACCCTCATCCTCGTCCTCCTCAGGGTTCTCCGACTCTCCCGGAGCCCAATACCTAAACCAGAATTTATTAGCATTGAATCCCGTCAAAAACTTTTCCAGGGAAATGTGACCCTTCAACAACAAAAAAAACAATACGAGCACAAACCTGTTATGAAGAATATAGAGGTTCTTGTTCTGTCCTAGGTGTGGTAAACTGTTGTACACTTCACAATCAACAACAAACTGACCAGCAGGAGAAGCACCTGCACACAACTAACTGCAGTGGTCCCCGGAATAATGTGGATCAAAAAGAAGACTTTTAAAATGATACTACAGGGTGTCCCACGAAACATGACAGTATGCAAGACGACTTGAATATCGTCTTGATTTTTGATATAATTTGCTGCATTTATTTGTCAACCTAATTTTAGAAGTAAATTTCTAGAGATAATAATCACAAAATTTCCCTTGTCCTGCCATTTCCAAAATGTGGTCTGCCTTTTTTGTGCTTTCAATATTGCCCGAGATATGAAGAATTTCGTTCAGATTTCGACAATTTTGCTTTTATTTAACAAAATTGAAATATGAACCAAACTCTTTATATCTCCGGTAATATTGAAAGCACAAAAAACGCAGACCACTTTTTGGAAATGCCAGGGCTAGGAGAATTATGTGAAAATTGTTTCAAGAATCATACATGTTAAAGTAGATAGAAGACTAAATGTCACAAATAAATTCAAATATCAAAGACGACTTTCAAATCGTCTTTCTATTGTCATGTTTCGTGGGACACCCTGTATCATGGTCAGGAAGAATTGCCAAAATATTTTCCCTTCAATAAATTGTTCTTCCCATTTTCTGGCGAACCCTGTATTTGCTTATTTTTACACACTACAAGGTAACTACATTAAAATGTGACATTTCAGACTGACTGAAAAAAGGTGTGACTAGGAGCTATAGTTTGCCGTTACAACCAAATCTAGTAAATGTGGATTGGGGGTAGAATTTTACATAAATACCCTGGGGTATAATTTTACATAAATACCCTGGGGTAAAATTTTACATAAATACCCTGGGGTATAATTTTACATGAATACCCTGGGGTATAATTTTACATAAATACCCTGGGGTATAATTTTACATAAATACCCTGGGGTATAATTTTACATAAATACCCTGGGGTATAATTTTACATGAATACCCTGTGGTATAATTTTACATAAATACCCTGGGGTATAATTTTTCATAAATACCCTGGGGTATAATTTTACATAAATACCCTGGGGTATAATTTTACTTAAATATATAATTTTACATAAATACCCTGGGGTATAATTTTGCATAAATACCCTACCTAAGTTCATAATCCGCCTGGTCAAAGTTTCAATTACTTGCTGTCCGGTCTTATCTAAACATATATTTCAAATAACAAATTTTCCACCGGAATATAAAAATGTGTTATTTGATTAAAACCGGGGGAAAAAACTATTGCGAGGTAATCTCAACTTTGTTAAAAATCTGCAAACATCAGAGGGTTTGCACTAACTCTTTGCAGTAACTTAGATCAAAAATTTACCTAAAAGCTTTCATCAATGTTAACAATAGGAACCACAATAGTATTTGAGATTGGACTTTTCATTTTTAAGGGACAAAATGAAACACTCTAATATACTTGCAGGAACTGGATAGCTCTCTGTAGAACAGCTACTCCCATATTTAATTGCAGGAACTGAATAGCTCTGAAGTACTCCCATATTTACCCGAAGGAACTGGATAGCTCTGAAGTACTCTCATATTTACCTGAAGGAACTGGATAGCTCTGAAGTACTCCCATATTTACCTGAAGGAACTGGATAGCTCTGAAGTACTCCCATATTTACCTGAAGGAACTGGATAGCTCTGTAGAACAGCTACTCCCATATTCCATCTGAAACAAAAAGTGGTTTACAGCATATGCAACAGTAAAGGTTTTATATATAAAAACAGAAATTATACAAAATATGAAACAATTTTATTATATAAAAAAATATTAGTCTAGATGCATTATTTAAAATACAAGTAGATTGCGATGCCTCAAATCCAATTATTGCAAAAATTGCGCAAAGTTATTTGAAAGTTTGTTCGGGTGGAAGATTAACTATGTTCTTATTCAAAAAGAAAACTTCAATACGCGTGGTATATTCGTGGTTTGTCGAAAAATAAAGTTTTAGCTCTGGAAAATAAGTGCTCGTCACATTCCTTGCGGCATTTTCTGGAAGTATTGGATAATAATGTCACTTTCAAGTCGTTCCAAAAAAATCTGAAACAAATTTTTTTAATTAAGAGTTTTGGTAAAAAGTACAGATTTTCTGCAGTTTTAAAAACTAATATTTTCGCATTTACATTGTGCATGCACCATCGTTTTTATCATTTAATGAACTATAAACTATTTACAATTCACACACATCATGAATCATTATCTGTATACACTTGTTTTAATTAATGTAAATTTTGTTAATTTCTAGTTGAAATAAATTTTCGAATGAGCATCTTAATCAAGATAGAGACAGAGTGCAGAAAAATCAGATTGGATGTTTACAATTTGTTCACCCAACTTGCAATCTGTTCCTTTATATTACTAAAGCTAAATCAATGTATGGCATTATCTATATCCCGTGCATTGGATACATATCAGAGAACTCTTATTTTTATAAACATATTATTATTATTATTATCATTAACATTCAACCTACAGTCAAAGTATCATGTCCTGTAGGCTATGTTATGTTAAGCTCCAGGGTCGAGCTCCAGCCACTTACCCTTGTCTACATGGGTTTTAGTGGATCATATCTGACGGTGAATTTTTTAGAATTCAGTAACTTTGCCAGCGTATGTAAGGAGGCATGAAATTGCTAAACATGTTATTGTTAGCATTTTTAAATAAGCAGTACGCACCTCTGCTAACATATAATATAAAATATATATAATTTAAATGTGTAAATATATAAAAAGTGTCTTGGACGGAGAATAGAAGGGGGATGGACTTGTCTTTTAATGTCTCCCCCAAGCTTGAAAAATAGATAAATTATTGTGCTAGGATTGGAATATGGTCAGAAAACCACCTTAAATCAGGGAGATGATCATACTCTGAACTTTTACCACGAGCAGAAGTTGGGAGCAGCCTCTTGGAATATGAACAAGAGCTAAAGCTGCGGGTCTTGTTTAAACAATATTTAAAAGCAGCTACTTGTCTAAAATTTCTTAATTTAGTGGATAGACTGCTCCTCAACAAATACTTTACTTTTGGGAGCTATTAACTATGAACAGGTTTCGAGCCGCTCCAACCATGGAAGCATCTTGTAAACCGTTTGCTCTCTTTCCCCTTGATGGTAAGGAACAGCTTTCTTGGTTTCTCCGGCTGCTTAGCGCGCAAATTCTGTATATATACTTGGGCAGACTTGTATGCCAGCTTGATCTCAACCTAATCAATAAGTCAATTAATCATATAATCACATGAATAAACAAATTGATTGAATCTATCCAAAATATAAGATCCCAAGTACACGATCAGAATGATTTAAGATCCAGAGAAGGATAAGATCCAGAGAAGGATAAGATCCAAAGAAGGGCAAGACGGAAAGGATGAGATTCAATGAATAAGATCCAACGGATAAGATCCAACGGATAAGCTCCAACGGAAAAGTTTCCAAGATAAGATACAAAAGATAAGATACAAGGGATATCCGATCCAAATGATAAATCCAAGGACAGTAACTATAAAATCAAAGGAAAAGATTGAAAACTAACCTCGCTACACCTAGGACCCATCCACATGAAAACCTGTTCGCCTGAATCCAAGATCATAATATCATCATCTGCCAGATCATCCTGACAAAAGTCGGAGCACTTCTCCGTCACGGTAAAGAACCCCTTGTCGTTGGAGCAGCGGAAGAGCCTGGAGTAGTTCAGGAACTCTGCCTCGGTCTCGTAGCTCTTCTTCTCCCCCAGCCCGGCCCAGAAGAAGTTATCAGGCTCCTCACCCTCATTTAACACCTATATTGTAAAATATGATATCGTTATCAACTTTTAGATCCACAATTTTGATAAATGATAAATTTTTAAAAGGAATGACCGGCAAGGAGGTTGAGCTAAAGGAAAACATATCAGATTTAAAAAACGTTGGTTGTCAGGTGAAATGTTTCGAGAGTATCGTTTTAAATCGATGCTTCTCAGGTTTTTAAATGGAAGTTTGCTGGAAATTTAAGCTTACGATCCCTTTAAGATAAACTCTATCTTATTCAAAAGTTTACAACTTTAAATACAATTAAATATATTTCAACATTGAATTCTTTTTCAACCTGTAGAGAGAAGTGTTCCTGATCATAGAGATTGTTTGCAATATCTTCAGCTATCAAGGCTTCATCAGGATCACATTTACTTCCTGTAATCAATCAAATAATCAATCCATCAATCCATCCATCAATCAATCATCTTCAGCTTTCAAGGGTTATCAGGATCACATTTACTTCCTGTATTAATTAATCAAATCAAATCAACTAATAAAAATAAGCAATCAATAAATCAATCAAACATCTTCAGCTATCAAGGCCTCGTCAGGATCACACTTTCTAATAGGAACTTATATTCATAAAGTTCCTGGCAGAAGGTATTCTTAATTATAAATTAAATCTTTTTCCACTTTTCATCTACTTTCACCCAAAAATGTCTTAACAAGATATTTACAATTGTTAAAATGCTTGATAATGCATGGAACTCAATATACATATTTTAGTAAGTTTTATTACGATTGTATTCCAATGGAAAAAAATTTCAGGGCAATAAGTTTTAAACAATCAACCATGTCTACCTCGGAATAGAATTATTTTTAATGATCTGGGAAAAACATTGGACGTAGGCAAGGTTTTGTTTCCTTTTTGATACTAAAATTAATTCATAAAAATCGTTTATTTTCCCTAAATCATAAAAACATACCTATCATCTAGTGGGAAAAAAATAGGGGAATGATTTTCTTAAGAAAATATACAGCCCTAAATATGTTTGAGAAAAGAACTAAATGGGTAAATATTGACACTCACCTATCCACACATAAACAATCCCACTCTTATCCTCGGCATCGAAGGGAACCTTCAGAATATACGAGAAACAGGAGTTAAGCAGAGAGGAGTCCGTTTTCAGCTGGATGCAGCGTCTGAACCGATTTGAATTATGAAAGATAACTTAAATAAAATAAAATAAAATTCCGTAGCGATCAATTCTAGATCAAGCTTTAAGCAATAAAAAATATTTTTAATTTGTCAGAAGTTACGTGGGTAGTGCGAACATGTAAGCTAAAAATATAAAAATGGTTCCTGTATAAACTTGATCCGTTAGATCTCAGCTGATAAAACTCAGATTCGGGTTTCCAGCCGGGCCCGCGCACCTCCTTTCTACATCCCTGAACAAAAGAAATTATTAAATTGGCCCACGCACGGCACCTCCTTTCTACATCCCTGAACATAAGAAATTATTAAATGGGCCCGCGCACCTCCTTTCTACATCCCTGAACATAAGAAATTATTAAATGGGCCCGCGCACCTCCTTTCTACATCCCTGAACATAAGAAATTATCAAATGGGCCCGCGCACATCCTTTCTACATCCCTGAACATCTGACATTATTAAATGATCCCTCGCACCCCCATTCTACATCCCTCAACTTCAGACATTATTAAATGGTCCCGCGCACCCCCATTCTACATCCCTGAACATCAAACATTATTACTAAATGGTCCCGCGCACCTCCTTTTTATATCCCTGAACATCAGACATTAATAAATGGACCCGCGCCGGCGTCCCCAAATCTACATCCCTGAACATCAAACATTTTTACTTAATGGTCCCGCGCACGTCCTTTTTATATCCCTGAACATCAGACATTAATAAATGGTCCCGCGCCGGCGTCCCCAATTCTACATCCCTGAACATCAAACATTATTTACTGAGCCCGCGCACATATTTTCTATAGGCCAAAAACACACAACAATTATAGTTTTTCAGAAAGTTTAATAACCCGCGGCTAATTTTACCTGTTTGATGAGAAGTCCATTGTTAAAGTGAGACATAAACTTTAGATTCTCCTGCTGTTGATGCATCCTGACAACCTAGATTATTGAAACACTTAACGAAAATAACAAAATATTTTATTTAAGTTGTGGACTTTTCAATTTCTTGATTCTCTTTTTCATAAACTTGCACTCTGAAAACTTCTTCACTTCCTTTCTTGAAATTTAAATTGCAAAAATTAAGAAATTATCAAGAATTACAAAAAAAAAACTTCTTACTTCCAGTTTTTCTCCAAAGAGACTTTCAAACTTCTTCTGAAGGGAGAAGGTAAAAGTGAGCCAGCCCATGTTGGAGCTCTCCCTGCCCTGCCAGAAGTAGACAACACACTGGTAATCGTCCTCCCCCTCATCCTCGTCCTCCTCAGGGTTCTCCGACTCTCCCGGAGCCCAATACCTAAACCAGAATTTATTAGCATTGAATCCCATCAAAAACGTTTCCAGGGAAATGTGACCCTTCCATTAAAAATCAAATGTAAATAAAGTATCTATTTAAGGGTCTGTCCTAGAGAGCGATTTTTAAAAATTAAAAAATCTGTCTAGGAAAACTTAATCCGTGTGAAAAATATTTGTATCATAGCTAATATTTGATAAATCCAATTTAACTAAAAGGAATTGTACACTATTTTAATTTCACTTTAAAATATAAGTGTTATTCACTAATCAGAACAGTAGCTTAACAGAGAAAAACATTATGTTAACATAATTATTTTTTTGGGTAGAAATCCACGATTCGTGGGACCATTTTTTCCCATCATAATTTTTCAAAATGCATTCAAAAAATGGGTCAATTAGAACTACATAGAAACAACCGCAATCCCATTAAAATTTAAAATATGGCAATCAATCAACTTTTACCTGCAAAGAAAAACATAGCTGTCCCTGGAATGAAATATTCCTTTCTCTTCCTCGGGAAGTTTCACAAACTTCTTTCCTTCAAAAACAAACGCCTAAGAATAGATTACATGAGTAAAAAAGCATATAAAGACGACATGCAGAAGCTAAGTGCCGTTTCTAAAAAATGTCAAGCTTTATTATTTTTATTATTGTTAGACGTAATGGACAGGAGCGTCAGCCCTAATTTCATGAAATGACAAGTTGATTTAAAATAATAATATTAATATTTTATAGACCTCCATTTTTTCTAAATCCTCGTTCCAATCCTCAGCAAACCTCTGAGCCTCCTCCTTCGACATTGAAGGCTGTCGAGGCTGGAACAGCGCCGACAAATCAATCTAAATATAACGAACAATTTAATTTTTTCAATGTTTTCGACAAAAAAATACTTGCTGTGAAAATCCGCAAACCTTAGTTTCTTGTTGTTTCGCCCATTTTTGTAGGTCCGCTCCTGTTCTCTGTACACTTTGTGCTGTTCGCGTAAAATCCACCCCGATGACATCATCCCAGCCGATAAACTTGGTCTTAAACACCTGGGACTCAGTTCCTTCGGACTGACTAGAAATAGGAAATATAACTATTTTGAATAGACTACTAACGTGAAAATATGAAGAGAAAAAACCATCTTTATGTAAATATTTCTTATTAAAAAAGATGTATTCAGAAATGTGTTCCTTTTCATTTTAGTATGCATGTACATTGTACAAATATAAAACTGAAACTTTCCGAATTTCTAATATCTCATCATTTTGTTTAGAAGTTGGATTTCATTTTATGTTTTAATTCACCCATATTTAATCAAAAGTTATTATCAAAAATTCATGTTGATTCCTACGTCATCAGGGACTAGAAAGAAATCTCATGTGTATTGAGAAACCATACATTTTTTTAAAAACATAATTTTTTTTAAATATGGTAATAAATTACAAGGACTAATATGGTGTATATTCACCCACCTATGGATCATAGCATACTCTGGTCTGATCAGCATAGAGAAGAGCTCACTAGAGAGCTTGAGAGCCGCCACTCTCACCAGCCGTGTTGATTTCTTTCCAACCCAGACAAACAGGTCGGAGTAACAGTCCAGGATATACACGTTCTTCGTGTTCAGGTGCTCCTGTTTCAACTTATTTCCAGGGATCTCAACCTGGGCACAATTAATCAAATCACATTATCAATTAATCAAATCACATGATCAATTAATATAATCACATGATCAGTCACTAGGTCACCAGAATTAATCTCAATGATCTTTTGAAAGTCTCGAGAGGTACCCCATCCCAAACCCGACCATGTAGTCTAGAAAAAATGTATCTGTGGTAGCTCAAGATATCCCATCTCTAGCCCGACTACGTAGAGTCTTATAAATACATATTTACCTTTTGTAACTCAAGATATCCCATCCCTAGTTCGACAATGTAGAGTCTATAAATACATTTACCTGTGGTAACTCAAGATATCCCATCCCTAGTCCAACTGTGTAGAGTCTATAAATACATTTACCTGTGGTAACTCAAGATATCCCATCCCAAGTCCAACTCTGTAGACACATTTACCTGTGGTAACTCAAGATATCCCATTCCTAGTCCAACTGTGTAGAGTCTAGGCACCAAAGGTTTAAAATCCTCCGGCACACTGTCCACAATAGGACCTTCAGGATACGAATCCTCGTCCGCAAACTCCACCAGAGATTGCCAGAATATTCCAGGTTCATCACCCTGGCAGAATATATGGATTCCAGCCTTCCCTTTCCTTTCATTCTTGTTAATCCGCTCAGCCATTAGTCGGGCCTTAGACTTTAACACGTTCTTGCAGTTCTTACCGTACCAAACCATTATCCTAAAGAAACCAAATGCTGAAAGAAAAAAAAATCAGACTTTTAGGGACTCCCTCCTGATTCCCTACTACCAAGCCTTAAATTTTACTAAAGCAAGAAATAAACGCGGCATTATAGCTTGTAAATGAGAAAAAGTGTATAAAAATATTTTTTTTTGCGAAAAGACGTAAAAATAATGTCTAATTTATTTTCACACGTACATGCGGGACAAATAAACATAATCATTATATTGTCACATGATATTTAAGAAGTACGCGTTAAATCCTGATGAATTTCTTTTTGACACAAATAAAAGTTTATCATTTAGGGGCGGGAGCGTCTTTCGAAAATCACGACTAGTCTATTTAGGTTTGAGTATAACTACCTAAGGCCTGCGTCCAGGAGGAAAACATATCTTGTATCCAGACTTTGGAACTCAGCTGCTACGCCCTGTACATTGATCAGAGTACATTACAGTGTGCAGTAAGCTTACCGTTAGTGTACAGAATGTGCAGTACAGAGTACAATTGGTGTACATTGTAAGAGTCATATTCTGATATGTTATTGCACATCTATCGATATAAATAAGCTGTAATCTCCGTTTGTCTGTCTGTTTGTCCGATCATAAATCATGAACCACCGTTTTGCCTCAAAATTTGATTGAGGAACTCGGGAGATCCACGGGAATGTTCTTTGCTTGGTTTTGAGATTCTAAATTCAGAAGGGGAAAAAGGCTAAAATCATAATTTACGAGAAAGAGCGGGTAAACGGCGGGACTAACAATGACTACCCAGTGCAATGCTGGGTTCCCAAGCTAGTATGTATATAAAGTTGTAATCTCTGTATGTCTGTTTGTTTGTCCGATTCAGGAACCCCTTGATCGATGTGTCTCAAATTTTGTTAGGGGAACGAGGGAGAACCACGGGAATGTTCTTTGCTTGGTTTTGAGATTCTAGGTTCCCAAGATAGTATTCTTATAATCAGTGCTTAGGATGCGGATCCGGAAGATTTTGGCTTCCTAGATCCGGATCCGTAAAAATATGCGGATCCACGGATCCGGATCCAAGGGGCAAAATATCCACCAAAAATTTGTTACTCTCAAAACCCAAATCTGATTGAAAAAAAGAGATATACCAAAAATTATAAAATTCTGCTATGTTAAAAAATTTAGTATATCTTAAAGACATAACCTGGATCCGGATCTGGATTTTATTCCAGTGCGGATTCAGGATCCGGATATGGATCCGGATCCGCATCAAAATTAAATGGATCCTAAGCACTGCTTATAATATGATATATATATATTCTGATAATCTACCTCTAAATGAATTCCATTTGCTGCTTCATGAATTCTGTACAACCGTACAGTGTACTCAACCTCTTCAACGGTGTAAAATCCTAAAATTAAATTATATTAAATATATAAGCTAATAACGTACTTCTTTAATTTAATATTTTTCTATAATTGATTCCAAAAATTCAAAACTAAATTAAGGAAACTTTCCTAAATCACAAATTTAAGAATTAAAAAAGTGACAAAAAATTAGAAGGGGGTGTTATTTCCTTTTATTCTGAACTGTTTAATGAATTCATATTTCTATTTTGAAGATATTCACTCCCCAACCCTCAGTTTTCATTTATCTTTCTGATTTGAAAATATTGAAAAAGTGACGTAATTTTTTCCTAAAACTAATTTACCGCTACTTTCTTGTAAAACTCTATGAGAAAAATATCCGCCAAAATATTTATTTCAAACTGTACAGTGTACATACCTGATGCAGTACGTTGTCCCTGTACATAGGTCAGGTTGGGTCCAAATATTTTCAAGAATTCTTCTGATTCATCACCTTGCTCCTCACGTATAGTTCGACAATTAGCACCTAATAACGGAGTTAATAATTCAATGATTTTTTTAGAGATCATACAGGGTTACCCTCCAACTTCCGAGACGGATTTTTTACTGTCTGTTTCTATAAATTTATAATTTCCTGCAACCATAAACTCAATTCTTTCTTTCCCCACTCAATAAAAATACCATTAAAAGACTATAATCAAGACAGAAAACTTAATTTTTACTTGGAATAGTCAGGTAGTCATTACTGTCTCCTCTTCTGTGGGCAACCCTGTAGATCTTCTTCTTCCCCCCCCCCCTCCTCATTTATAAAGCACGTTGATATTCTTCCGTCATGTTTAGAAGTAAAATACATCAAAATAAGATATAATGCATCAAGGTTTAACTTTAATTAAGAAAATATATAACCGAACCTAAATAGTTTCTAAGATTAACACTGTGCATGGCGCTACATGTTCGCTTGTCTAATGTCGCTTTTTCTCCGATCCAGAAATATATTCCCCAATCCAGGCTCTGGTTTTCATCTAGGAAGGTGTGCAGGACAATGTAACAATCCCCTTCGTAGAACTTTCCATGAACAGATTCATCAACCTAGAATAAAAATAAATATAGCACAAAAACAACAACAATAATATACAACAGTACAGTACTGTTGTATATTATTGTTGTAGTTTTTGTGCTATATTTAAAGTACAGTAAAGTACAGTACAGTGGAGTACATTGGAGTACATTAAAGTACAATACCGTGCACTTTCCTTCAATTTTCTATTTTTCCAAAATTTTGCTTTCTAATATTTCTTAGTTCCCATAACTTCTAAGCTTCCCATAAATTCTCAGTTTTTCATGAATTTTCAGTATCCCATAGTTTCCAAGTTTTACCATAATTTTGATGTTCCACAATCTTAGTTTCCCAAATCTCTGATTATTTTGGTGTTCCAAAATCTTATTTTTCAAAGTCTCTGATTTCTATACATCAATTTTCTGACCATGTTTACCTGGTTCGGATAGAAGTTTTCTATCTCCCAAATACTGAGTCCTGGGAAGCTACCAACATCTGAATCAAAAAACTCTGAGTAGTCTAGAGCAGGTTTCTCTAGTGCTTCATCCCACTTCTTAGCTTTAATAGATTCAGCACTCTCATCCAACACCCCAGCCTCACGTTCCAGAGCTACATCTGTCATTCCTTTCAGCACCTTAACATTGGTTGGTTAGTTTGATGATTGGTTGGTTGGTTGGTTGGTTGGTTGGTTGGTTGGTTGGTTGGTTGGTTGGTTGGTTGGTTGGTTGGTTGGTTGGTTGGCTTGTTGATAGATAAATAGATGGAAAATGGTTAAACTGTTTAAAATTATTCATAAATGGAGTTTTTTTTCTTCATAAAATTGGGTTTTCACTTTTTTTTTGGAGGAGGGGGGTTGAAAGGTCAAAACATTTTGAACAATAGCACTGCACCTCTTGTGGCGTTTGTCTTTGACTTTTCTTGCATTTTGGCGAGGTCACATTACCTTTTTCTGGTCCTCGTCAGCCTCCCCTGCATCCCCTCTTCTTCGTCTCAACCTCATTTTCCTCGCTACAGGGTCCTTTTCCTGCCTCTAGATATTAAATCCACATAAAGGGAATGTCTCCAAAATTCTAACTTCAATTTTATAGTGGCATCAATCTTAACAAAAATTTTTTTGCTAAGATTAGGATAAAAAAGTTGCGACACTGTTAACAGATTTTTTAAATAGAAAAAAAAGAATCTCCATCATGATATTGAATTAAATAAGAACTTGTATGCCATGATGGGCGTTGATTATTATATCAAGATTTGGATAAATCAATCTATCTGAGTAGTTACTTAAAGATTTCTAAACATTCTAAACAAATAAGAATTCGCAATTTGATCAAATAGTATTTGGGAACTGGACGCCGCTGGAAAAACGAAGATATCTCTATCTCAATTCATCAATACCTGATCCTGTAGATCTGGGGGAACACTAGCCCCTGCAAGACGAAGCTGGTTTTGTAGAGAGAAATCTATATTGTAGAATTCTGCTCCAGCTCCTCGCATCAGCTCAGTAGGTTTAGGAGGCATTATTAGCTCAGGGTTACCCTACAATAATTAGGCTTAGGAGGCATTATTAACTCAGGGTTACCCTACAATAATTAGGTTTAGGAGGCATTATTAACTCCGCGGTACCCTACAATAATTAGGTTTAGGAAGCATTATTAACTCCGCGGTACCCTACAATAATTAGGTTTAGGAGGCATTATTAACTCCGCGGTACCCTACAATAATAAGGTGATAGACATTGCCCAAGTAATTAAATAGAAATTAAACTTTCCCAAATGATATATTCCAAACGGTAATTTCCCTTAAAGGTTACGAACATTTTTAGATTCTGAATCATTCAGACGTGAAATGTCTGACAATTACCTGACAAAAAATAATACTTAAAGAATTTTTAAGTTAATTTTAACAATATTATAATCATAAGAGAATCCATAATAGAATCTATAAGAGAAATCCTAATCAAATATTAAGTAGGGGAGGGGGGGGGGGCGGAGGGAAGGCAAAGGGAAAGGGTATAAATTATTTTACCTTAAGATCTAAAACTTGAAGTTCTGTAAGATGAATAGCATCAGGAAGTGTGATTAATTTATTCCTTGCTAAAATTAGTTTCTTCAAGGAAGCACATCTACATAAACCTGAATAAAGAAAAATTGTTTGTTATTTTTAGCTTTCTTTTTTGGTACTCCCGTAATCAGGTCTTGCTGTCATATTTTCATTTTCTTTCATGCCTTTTTACTCCGTTATACATCATTATATTTTTTCTTAATCATTTGTTAACGGTTTCGTCTAAAACTCGATTTATACTAATTTCAAAATATAATTAACACTGCAGACGCAGAACTGTTACAAAAAAAAGTATAATTTCGGCCGGTATTAAGTTTATTTGATTCATGTTTTCTTTATTTTTACTAATTGTTTTTTCTTTCCGCCCTTTTAAACATTTTGTATCTGTTTCCAAGAGAAAGATAATTTTTCGATACCAGTACTAACGTCGGACCCACAAACGTCGGACGGTACAAACATAAGACTTACAAACGTCGGACAGTACAAACGTCGGACAGTACAAACGTCGGACCAGTACAAACGTCGGACCAGTACAAACATCGGACCAGTACAAACGTCAGACTGGTACAAACGTCGGACCAGTACAAACGTCGGACGGGTACATTTATAAGGAAAAACGTCGGACCAAGGAGGAAAAAATATAATATTTTTGATTATGTCAAACCTTCTCTAATCATTTCTAAATTATTATCAGCAGCAGAGAATATTTCCAGACAAGATAATTTACCAATACCAGCAGGGATTCCTTAACAGAATTATAAATATACACCAACCAATCAATCAACCAACACCAATCAATCATTCATGCAACTTATAAAGCAGCATATCAATCAATCAATCACGCGTAACCATTATAGATTCCTAAACTAACAATAAATAAAAAAAAGATTTCATAAATCAATCAACCAGACAATTAGTCAATTAAATCTGATCAATGATGAATGGTGCTTAACTTTTATGGATTCTGAACAGACAACAAAAAAAACCAATCAAGCAATCAATTAATTAATCAATTGTTATTAACACTTTTTATGTTTTTATAGATATTATTGAATATTTTTATGTTTTTTCATTCTTCGTTAAAATATGAATGTAGTGTACAGTGTACACCTCGAAATATATTTCTTTGCTTTAATCTTCTATTGTAACTTCATTGTGTACGAAATAAACTAATAATAAATATAATCATACCCCAATAAATCAATTAATCAAACAACCTTTTAATCAATTAATCAATTAATCAATTATGCTTGACCTTTATGGATTCTATAACAAACAATAGATGAATACAATCAAACATCAATCAATAAATTAATTAATTAATCAAATCAATTAATTTAATCAATTAAATTAATCAGTTGTGTTTGAAAAAGTGAAATATTTTGTTCACAATCAAAGGTAACTGCTATCTAATTCTTCTTGTGCCAGTTTTATGCAAATATTGTTTTCTACAATTTACTAAAATCACCGGCAAAAGATTTGAAAGACGTAAGGCACAATTAAAAACGTTTGAATAAGAAATAGTTTTGTTATACAGAATTGCAGATTTATTATACGAAATAATAACGAAAAATCTATCTTAACAATCTTTTAAAAAAATGACAAATGAACACATCATTCAAACATGAGATGTTAAAAATTAAAAAGAAAAAATCTTTATTTACAATTTTTTTGTAACTAATTTCACCTTCAAAATCTAACTGGTTCTCACATACATACAGTTTCTTGAGTTTAAACAGCTTACAGAGGCTTCCAGGCAGGCTTGTTATCTAAACACATTGGAAATATTTTCAACCATTAAACAATCAATTAATCAATCACAATACAACGAAATAGAACTATTACAAGAGAAAACCATGCTTAACAAGCAATCTTAACATCATTGGGTTTCATTCGAATAATGAACAATCTCTAAAACCCAAGGACAAAGGAACAGATATGTTTACAATACAATGAAAACATCAAGTCAGTTCGATACCACCTAGCGGCCAGTCATGCAATTATATCATTACTGTTGCACATTATCAGCTGTTCGGTTTCATATGTTGATTTTACCGAATTAATTTTTAACTGGCCTCTTTGACTAGTCGTACTTGGCGATAACGATCCGAATGTTATTATTTTCTCTTATTGGATAACCCCAGCTACAGAGCCCTGCGTAAAATTCCTAATGAATCGGTACTAACCTTATTCCTTGAAAGAATCAAGGTTTCTAATTGATTCCATCTCTCTATCCCTGGACTCACTTCGTCGATCATATTACTGCCCAGATTTAATCTTTTCAGACCGGAGATCACAAGCAATCCCTCAGGAATCTTAAAATCGATCAAACCGTAATCATATAATCAATCAATTGCTTGTTTATTCACTAATCAATCAAACACTGGAATATTAAACGTTAATTTTCTATAAAAATTTGATAAATTTCTTATTCCTCAACCAAATATCTTTAATTCTCTAAGTATTGCGACAGCTATAAAATCAATTGATCAATAAATCGATCAATCAATCAATCAATCGATTAGGTTTAGTTCCTTAGTAAGATGGTTCTGGCTGAGATCTACGTCTGCCAGATGAACCAAGGGTTCCAGGTTTACAGGGATGTTGGAGAGGGTTCTCTGTGTGTTCCTAAGGTGAAGAGTTCTGAGCTCTGTGAGGGCGGGGAGGGGACGGATCTGGAAGTGGGAGAGAGGATTGTTACTCAGCACTAAGGTCTGCAAGTTACCCAACCTGAAATGATTTAAATATTTTTAATATATTTATATATAAATATTTAAACCTGAAATAAGTTAGTATTTATTTTTAAAAGATTCATTTTAGCAGATAACGTAAAAACAGTTTATTTTGATTATTATCTTTGTGATAACCCACCATTCAATCATACAAAAGGGTAGACGCTTCCAGCCATCGAAAATTATATATTGCGAAAAGGCATAAAGCCAGCAGAGCCACTGTTCTACCAAATATGCCCCTAGATACATGTGTTTGTGGAGAGGGGGGGGGTACCTTCTTAGCTGTGGAGGGAGCGCATCTAGTTCATTATTCGCCAGGTCAAGGTGAAGAAGATCAGCTGTTGCCATAAACAGCTGACTTGGAACCATCTCAATCTAATTAAAAAATCTTTATTCAAATCGGATAAAATTTGGATGACTTCTGACGCCGTTACATGAATTCTTATAAAACGGGATGATTTTGATAAAAAAAAAGTCGGATGACATAAGATTGCGTTTGATCAATGATCAGATTATTAGTTCAATATAAGGATATCTTAAAGTCGCATGTTTTTTATTGTACAAAATAGCTGCTCTAAGTGAAAAATTAATTCTAATAAAAAAAGACACAATTAACAAATTTTTACTCCAAGAAGAAATTGTCTCACCTGATTGTGTGAAAGATTTAACACCAATAAACTCCGGCACCTACAAATACAATAAAAATGTAACACAAAAAGCAATATATGTTTGTGTTAAAACAAAAAATAAAACTCCCAACGTCGCCACTTCAAACTTTCCCCTGACATCAGGTTGGATAATATATCCACAAATACCCCCCCACCCCCTTCTCCTAGTACTACCTCAGTAACCCCTCTGGTATCTGCTGTAGTTGATTGTGTGAAAGATCAAGGGTTGAGAGTTCCTCATTCTCAAAAACCTAGAGGATAAGAAACAAACATTACGTCTAAATACGTTTCTTTGAATTTCTTCAAAAAAATTTCATAGAAAAAAATCATTTATTTTCCCATTTCTCAAGAAGATATAAGATCGACCTTAGAGATATAAAAAAATCTTTTTCATGAATGAGAAAAGGATTTTTTTCTCAAGACATTCAATTTCCCTGCTTAAGTAAAATAAAATTGACAATAAACATTGAAAATGTTTTTAAATAAAGGGAAATAGGCAACAACAAAAAACATTTTTAAAACCGTAATTTAAGTGTCCTTTTATCTTATCATTTACTACGAATCAATGATTGAGAAATCTGTTTTCTAAGTCCAACTGAAAATTGTCAGTGTCTGAATAGTCAACGACGGGAGCTATGGCAAAGACGACTAAGATAAGAGATAACAAATCAATTAAAATTAGTTCTAACTGTTATGCAGTGCTAAGGATTCATTTAATTTTGATGCGGATCCGGATCTTGGATCCGCTCTGAAAAAAATTGGATCTGGATTAAGTTTAATTCCAAAAAAAAATACTGAATTTTTTTAACAAAGCAAATTTTCAAATTTTGTTTTGTTTTTTCGCTTATTTTTATGCTAGTTCAGATTTGGGGTTTGAGAGTAAATCCGTGGATCCGCATATTTTTGCGGATCCGGATCCAGGAAGTCAAAATCTTGCAGATCCAACGGATCCGAATCCTAAGCACTGCTTCTATGACATAATTTCTCCTATAAAGGTTTGTAATTAACTGTTGTCAATCGTTTATGGCAATTAAGTTGTGCTTTTACCTCCACGGGAATATTTGTGTGTGTAAGATTATTGTAACGCAGGTTCAAGGTTCTAGATATTCAAAATTTGACAAACTTAAACTTATAAAATTAAGAAAAGTTTTTTTTTCAAATTCTAATTAGCTTAGAACATTAGTTTACAAGGTAAATAACATCGTAATGTTTTATATCCAGTAAATAAAAGATTTGAGGGACTTTTGACATAATTTGAGGGACTTTTGACATAATTTAAGTGACCCTTTATTCGGTGTGGCATGTCAGATTCACAAAGGTACCATTAAATGCTCTGAATAGACAAGATATCTACATTTTAATGCTCTTTAATGCTCTTTAATAGTGGAGGGTCATTAGAACTTTAGAAGTAACGAGGACAGCAGAAGAATAATAAATTGAATATTCCTAAGGCAGTGCATGTTGCTGAGCTGTGAGCTGAGGGACTCCAGGTTGTTTCTCTTGATGGTGAGGTGCTCCAACTTCACCAGCTTTCCCAACTCATCAGGGATCTTCCTGCCAGAACAACAGGGGGTTCAACACATTTTTTTTGTGTATTCGAAAAAAAGTATGTAAAATATTAATAAATTACTTCTACAATTTACATGTAGACAATTACACCCTTTTTTAAGATTCATTAAATTCCCTTCAGTGCCCTTTAACTTGCTTTAAGTAAGACATCTAGGCGAGCAAGGAAACAAATATTCTAAACAATATTTCTTAGCGAACATGGCACTTTCTTCTTCTTTATATAGTTAGAAATTTTATAAACAGAATAAATTCTTTATCATTACGAATATATTTACGTCAGGTTAGCATTGTTGAGTTTAAGCCAGCGTAATGACGTCATATCCTCCATAGCCTCAGGAAACTTGTCATCCTTCAAATAAATATTATGTAAAAAACTTATAATAAGATAATTTTTATACCCCCCCCCATCCTATCAATTTTGTACATGGATCTTATATGTAAGACATTGATACAATTGACCAATTGGCCGCAGCGCCCGGCTCCCAAGCCTGTCCTAGTAACGGCGCTCGGCCCCTTGCCTGTCCTAGCCGCAGCGCTCGGCCCCCTAGCCTGGCCTAGCCGAAGCGCTCGGCTCAGAAATTGTCTAAACTTAACCTAACCCTAAATGTATACTAATTTTGTTGAAAGTTGTCGAAAAAGTGGTCATGTAAAAAATTGATAGGATGGGGGGGGGGGGTCCAAAAATCGTATACTAGGGCGGACCCCTACCCCCCATGTCTTGAAGAAATTATCAGAAACGGTTCAAAAATTTACTAGTTGATAAAACGTTTCCATTGACATACGTGCATTACAAGCATTACACGCAATTTAGCATTATGATTTCTTAATAAATAGATGCTAAAGACTAGATAAAAGCATCAAATTACATTAAACGGTGCGCTCAAAACCTTTAAATGTATTAATGTTACATACAAAAATTAGGAACAAATGAATCATGTACATTGTATTGTATATAATATGAATGAAAAGTTCAAATACCTGTAAGTCGTTCATAGTAAGATCTATACCCCTTATAAAGGGTAAGACCCCTGTACTGGCCATTTTATGTCTAGATTCTCTGAACAATATTAAAAATATATTCCAGAAATAAGCAATTCAAATTCTAAAATTAAGAGGATTAAAATTGTATTTTTTAGGTTTTAGCTAGACAATTACTTCCGCCTACGAACTGTTTAAGAATAATCCGCGGCAAAGAAACTGTTTTCGTAAAGTTCGAAGAAATGTTAATATCAAATGCAATATTCGCAAATTCTTTAATAAGAATATACAGGTTGTCCCAAAAAAACATGGGAATTCAGTGACGAATTGGATATCGTCTTTGTTATGAATTAGCATTGTAATACCTAATTTCAAAAGCCATAATATTATTATGTCTGCTACAGTTTATTTTATGAAAAGGGTAAAAGACTGTAAAGATGTGTTTATGATTTCTCCACAAGATGGACAGTGAAGACGGACAAGTTTACTCTGTTTGTATATACTGTAATTTTCTTATTTTACTGAGCATACAACCGATATGCAGTCAAAACATAAACAAACGAAATATGAACATAGCAGACGAAACTCTTGAAGATTGCAACTTTCTCAGTAGGTATTACTATTACTAAATCAAAGAATTATCTAAAAAGACGACATCAAATTCAGAGGCGCAACTAGGGGGGGGCGGCCGGGCGCGCGCCCTCCCCTAGCACCTGAGAGGGGGGGGCCCCCCACGCAGAATGAAAAGAAAGAAAGAATGGCGA